CACACAATACACCGTACAACTGAACTGGCCTAAACTCATTGTTGATTGGAGCAAAAGTTTACGGTATCATGTCAGATATCTTGTCACGAAAGGTTAAAATGCGATTAGTCCACCTTTCAATCCTAGATAGTTCGGGCCTGCTAGGCGCGATCAAAAAAATATATTTCAGCCCGATTTCATAACTCTACAAAGAAACCCTATTTTGTCTGATAGAAAAAGGAGCTGGGTTTGTAATTCATTAAGTTTTACGTTTTACGGAGCAGTTAATTATATAGCACCCAAGGTAATATGATAAACTTCTGTTTCATCTTGAAAACAACGGACTGGCGGTTGTAGTCAAGGCACAACCGAAAACTACTTTGTGTTTTTGAGAAAAAGAATCTCTGAAGGATATCATTCTCAAATCGATCGACAACCGAACTCTGTTAGAAACTTCAACCCATCTGATCTTGCATACCGTTGCATAATTCTGTAGCTATTCTCATAACATAACTAGTTAGTACAGACCTAATGTCAGAAAAATAAAGTATAAGGTTAATAGAAAATGAAAATTATTTTGTTGAAACATATTGAACACATTTCTCATTGATAGCAAAAGGAACTGAAAAAGTTTCAGGATTACCATGAGATGACTCACCCAAAGACTATTAAAATTGGATGTTAAATTAATAATATTTAGAATTTCTAAGAATAGGTAAAAACCTTTGAAATCAAGAATACGTGATAAAATCATCTCGTAGGGTGAGTTTCCTAATATGTAGAAAACCTGCGTCTCTCTCTTTCTTTCTTTTCGTACCTCATCAACCAACCTCTGTAAGTTGCCATTGCGAAAGCTGTTAATTCAAGAAATATGAAGGGAGGGGAAACTAATCTAGTTGATGGAAGTTCTAAACGTTTCGTGTTGTATCATGCATGCTCAATACGTTCACGTCTTTGGATATGGAACGAAAGAATCAAAAAAGTTTCAGATAGTCGGAAGAGTACACAATGAAGATTCAGATCTTTATCCAAGATAGGGTTGACATAGTTTCAGTTTCCATTCAATTCGCTCATGTCTTTTACCTGATTCAAAAATTTTCTTTGTAAGAATGTTATATTAGTAACTATTAGCACTAAATGTATTCTCATTCAACTCTTGTTCGATGTATTCCTTTATTAGGATATTTAACCGTTTTCCTGTTGGCAGCTGTAACCATAAGGTATTCATAGTGCTAACATTGAAACTGAAAAATCTTTTTAAAGTTTGAAGTATGAAGCAGCAAAAGAACATAAGCTAGCTTATGAGAAGTATGAAGTTTATGTCACTTCCGCCTACTACTACAACAGGTCGAAGAGGTAATTCACCTGATCCGTTTTCAGCGCATCAATGTTTTTAAGCCTGGGAGACGCTTCGGTCGCTCTTATTTTAGTGGCAGATTTTGAGTTCGTCGAATCAATTGAGAAAATCAATATAATAGGAGAAAACAGTACCGGAACTGTTATTCAGACAGCTCAGCTACATAGGTCAGGAAGTTCTCAATCTGAATTAAATGTAACTATTTAAGTATTCCTCCTCACAAGGTATGTCGTTGGGTTCCAATTTTCGTGACGACTCCTCTTCTTCACAATTTGAAACATCTATCGGTCGATTTGGGCATATCTCGAGTTCAAGTCTGTCATTACGGTGATTGCAATGATTAAGGGTTTTCAGATTCCTTTCCAATTGGCTATTACTAAAAAACACAACGTTGTAACTTGCATAGCACCACTATTTGCAAATGAGAACTGGCAATTAGCTTTGATTTCAATCCATACCTATAAACAGTGAGTATATTAGAAGTGATATATTAACAAACTTAATTGAAGCTATGGATCCCACCTACATATCTATATAAGAAGTATGATATCACCTCTCTTTGATCTACTGCGTATATACGAGAAGGAAGTCAGTTTGCTTTGCTGGCTGCAAAAATACCTATTTATTAACCAGGGCTTCATCACAATAGATCCGTGGCTGCGAATCAAGTTGTCCACAATCTCTCAAAAAAGATTCAACCCCAATCTAAATGTAGAGTTCCGAAATCAAGCTGGAGCGCAGACTGACTGTCTTTTAAAATATAAAGTTAGTGCATGATTGTTCACTACTAGTATACTTCGTTTCAGGAGTCCGCCGATTTCATATCTTTCATGGACCTTGATGATATTTTGATTCCTCGACTAGGATCAAATTATTTTGAAGAATTTACTTCTCTATTCAACTCCGCTCCTTATGCGTCTTTCATACATTATGTGAAAGAGAACGTAGAAGTTGATGCTCGTACGTATTTTTAAAACTGCTTCTATTCATTTCGTTTCTCAGAGAAATATGCCCAAGATTTCAATTTGTATCAAATGCTCTCCAGCATACGTTATAGTCAACAAACGGAAACTGGAAAAATGGTGACCAAGCCTGAATACATTAACTACACTTGGATTCATTGGCCTGATAACGGTCTCATGCCCAAGTGAGTGAAATCCTCTCCAGCTTTCATTGTTCTTTTTACAGCTACAAGGTACCTAGCGATATCAACTCTATCACTCATCTAAAAAAAATAAACTTGGGCATGTTTTCGGAAAATGGAGGCACAGTGGAACTACCATATTATGAACCTTCAAGTGGGTATAGGTTGTACCCTACTCACCTCTTGGAGGAAAAAGATCGCTTGACAATCGAACAGGAATTCCAGAGGCTTGCCATACTTTTTGACCGGTTTTCATGATTCAGGAACACTTTCAGAATTAAGAACTTGACCATAGATATGAACATTTTTGAAGAATTACCTCCAACTTTCTTCTATTCCCCCTTGATAGCAGATTGTTACGAGAGAACGTTCTACTCTTTGCATAATCAAGGTTTACATTACCGTATGAAATGTCCCGGGCCGGAAAGATGTTACGTTCGTTTGTTTTCTATTTTTTCTCTAAAACATAAGTGCTTACAGTTCCCTGAATCGCCTGGATTAGAATGTCAGAACGCTGAATCGATATATAGTTCAGCAGACGGCGAGTTATATAATATTCATTATCATCAAAGAGATCATTTCGAATTAGAGGACGGGTGTAGTCGATGATACATATACATATACATATACACATATATATATTTCATTATCACTTATTTTTTGAATAAAGAAAATGTTTGGAGATGATTAAGCCGATGAGTAGGATCTTTAGAAGATTAAGTGAAAATGCGTTCAAACGAAAGAGAAAGAAAAGAGATGAGATGAGAAGAACAACAGAAGAACGTGGAAGAGAGAGAAATGAGTTGAAGAAGAATTTTTAGAAGTTTTTTTTAAGTGATATGTCGTTTTGTAAGAACATAAACACGAAATTGGTCTTGTCTTATTAGAAGCAAAATCTAATGCTATTTGTTAATGAGGTCGATCAAAGCAAGTGTCTTTGTCCTCTTTCGTCATAAGCCTTGATGACGAACATCTGAAAGGGAATAGAATTAGCATAAAAAGAACAGCATCAAACCTTCTCAAACTTAGACTGGAGAAGAGTGGCGTGCATTTAAGCATATCTTTCAATTGTATTGATTCGTAGTTCTCAATAGACTCTTGAAACTTTTCAATCCAGAGTTCCTAAAAAACACTTGTTCTCATTTTTCCTCAGAACAACTTGCCTTGTCGTGTTTATCAGAAGCTTGCAGCGTGTATATAGCGACGACTTGATAATAACGTGTTAAATGAATAATAACAAATGCAAATTTCAAAGAAACTAAAAGCTATGTTTGAAATACAAGCCTCCAGAACTAACTTGATGTAGTCGAATCGTTACTATCAGCATCACAGAACACACACGAATCTAGAGGGACAGGTTGTCGTTGAACAACATAATGTTCACTTTTTCCAATCGGTATTCCTTTCTAAAGTTGAAGAATAAAGATGAAATTCGGAATGGATTTGAAAGGTTAGAGGAAGTTATCTTCGCAAAAGCATTTCAAGGAATCGGTGGCATCCGAACGGTTGGTGACATTCTTGAAACTTACAACTTTCAGTTTTGACGCACACTTTTTCGTTTTCGAAAGGACAAACATATCGTTGAACAAGAAAGCGTAAACATCAGTTGTTTTTCCGTTCTCTGAACATGGATACTTGAAAGCATGTTATTGTTAATATGAATTACCAACTAATTCTAATGGTCCCTCATGAATGAGTTTCCGCCTCGGATGAGCCAGTAGATTTTCACAGAATTGACGAGACAAAGCAACTTTTAAGAACTAAAACAAAGAGTAAAATTAATGAAGTTTCTCATACATCAGGTATGAAAGAACGAGGTTCAAGATCAGCAATTGAAGGCCAAACTACTTGGGTTTGGAGTTGTTGTAATCGTTCAAAGTTATGAAGCCATTGGACACTATCATCAATAGACCCTGCAAACAAAGTGGCATTTCAGAAACATTCGTGAAATGTGGAGGGAGTTACTTAGACTTTCATTCATCGATTCCAACACTTTCTCAACTTTTGATTTATCCCCTTCATTCTCGGTGTACCGTAGAATTTCTTTGAGTAAAATAGGCAAACGGGTTATTCTGGAAGCAGTATTGGTTGTGTTGCTAAGTGAACAGCAGTGAATACCTTTGTAATGGAGCAATCAGTAAGTCTTCCAATTGTAATCGAAAACATCTCTCATCTGCTAAACAAATCTGCAAGGATTTTCATTTTATCAAAAGATTCTAGGGAAAGTACTCGTTCAAATTCGCTAAATCTTTCTTCCTTTTGACGCACAGATCCAAGGTATTCCATAGTGGCTTTGTAGTTTATACAATACGCTTGATAAGCTGATATCGTCGAAGGACCTTTTGAAAACTATAAGAGAGTGTGTGACAGACAAAACAAATGATCTATACTCTTTCGAACAGCTGTACAACCAAATCCGTTCCATCCCAATGGTTTTCTGGATTCACGGTTGGCAGCAACTCGAGAAACGATTGACAAAATGATCGAGAGATCCGACACAGCTGATCCAAATTGCCAAAAAGAAGATCAGGTTCTACAGCCAACAAACAACCTTCCACTTGGCATTTTTTCAGAGGCTCTTTATACACATTTCTAGGAAACAAAGAAGTGAGTGAGAAAGAATATTGATGAGAAAGAAATACCTGAGTACAAGTAGTTGTCGATGTAAAAATGTTAATTCAGAATGAAATAATTCCCATACAGATTGTAAATATTTTTGTTTTTGAATGGAAAGTTCTTGAGCCCCTTCAAACATTTCGTCCCAGGTCACGGGCTAGAAAATTATTCGATTACACTTACTAAAACTAAATTACCATTAGCTTCTCAAGTTCATCGTCTTCCAACTCATGATCTTTACAACTTTCTAAGGCTGCTTGGACATGCTTTATGATTTCTCTTCGTTTAGCTCTATTCGACCATTCATACTTTAAAAGAGATTGATGAGACTTAAAAAAGAGGTAAAACAAACCAATCGTTTCAAGATCCATGGGGATCTTGTTTTAGAGGTTTCGCTATTTTCTGCATAAAACGCTTGGGCAGCAATGGTTGCACGTTGTAGGTCTATAAAAGGTAATGAAACAGATGAGCTTATATATAAGTTTATGTTAATCAAGTGTATAAATAGGAGACAATTCTAAGAACCTGCTAGCATTCCTCCTCCAGAACTGATTGCTCGATTGAATAAATGCGATTCATTGGGAGATATTTGTACATGAGGTACTATGATAACATTGTCCGTGGAGCAGCAATCAGATGTTCTGTCATAATAATTAATTAGAGAATTAATAATTTAATTGCAGCGAATAACAAGAAAGAAAACTCACGATTGGTGCTGTTGCGTTGGCTGAAATTGGAAAATGAAATTTGAATTCAAATATTTTTTATTTTTCTTTTTACCGCCAACAAGTGGCAAGAAGGAAATTCATTGAATTTCAATCAAGAGTTCGCTGGAGCAATCAAATTCGAATAATTTATATTTGAATTCATTATTTTTTTGTATATTCATTATTCGTTTCAATGGAATGACCACCAACCTGATCAGGAACTATAGCATGTCTCCTGGAAAGTTGTTCCTTGTTCGGATGAATTGTTTGCGCTTCACCATCTTCAGGCTATAAGGAGATGACAAATTATTTTGTTTGCAAACTTTTCGTTTCTCTTGAATTTCTTTTTTCTCAGTTGAAAAGAGCTTAATCACCTCTTCTACTGTTGTTCGATATATTGGAGCGAAAACTGTTACGTCAAGCATTTGGACTGAAAACTAAGCAAATGAACATCTTCTGTTCATTTTCAACGAAAATATTGAAAAATATTGAAAAATCTCACAGTAAATTGAGAAAAATGAAGAAAATGAAACAACACTCGAATTAATTGGTATGACGAAGACATTTTAGAAATTTGAGAAGTTGTCTTCGTCACTGCCAGAGAGCATTCATGGTCAAGTCGCCCCCATTTCTTCCCTCCCCCTCTCCTTCTTCTAATTCTGCCTAGACTTTCTCTCTTTCTGTCTTTTTTGTTTTAAAAATGCCATCTTTATGAGGAAATGTGCTGTTGGGAGAGGAAATGACAGAAGACAAGGTTAATCTAATAACAATTTCAAACAGCAAAGTTCAAGTGGAATAGATCAAAAGCTAAAAATCTATTTTTACATGAAATAGTCACCTATAGATGGATATCATTTGAATAATTATGAGAATTTAACTATAACTTACAATGAATAATTCAAGAATGAACGGCATATGCGAATAATGCTGACGTTCTCCTATCATTTTTCCAAAAGAATTCCTTGAGTTTGATGAAAAAGTAAAAACTCCAGGAGACGACATGCTTTGGCAGAAAGTCGTTTTGAATTTTAAAAAAGATTTCTCCTTTTTTCCAAACTTTCCGTCACCAAAAAAGGAGGCGAAATTGAATACGCTTAATGTGCTGAAGCTGACGGTACTTAAGAGCTATGGCAATTTCAGATTCAACAAAACAGAAAAAAACTTTCTATTTCTCAACTTCTTTGAGAAAAACTGATAATTGAAAGATCTCCCTTATGAATTAGGTGGAATTTAGAAAATCAAAAATCTTCATTCTCAAAGTACTTTTGGGAGAGAAAAAAACATTTCTCCTTCCGCTCTCAGAAATGGAATCCACGTCGAATTCATGTTTTCTTCAATTTCAAAAATCAAATATTCAGATCATAAGCATTTGAAAGGAAAAGCCTCTTGCTTAACTATTAACACAATCTCTCAGCTGCTTGTCACGTATACATCATCAGCAGTCCTCAAAACAGAGTCTTTCCGAAGAAAATTTGATTTCTGTTAAAGAAATTAGAGTGGAAAACAAGAAAGAGCTATTCAAAAGACAAAAATTCGATTATTTTATTATTTTTATATAAAAACTACCGCAGAAATCAAGTATAGCTCATAGTTTTTGATGACAAACGTACTTTCTCGCTCGCTCTTCCTCTTCGCCTAAAATAACTAAAAAACAATTTTTTCATCAAAAAAGAACTTTTTCGAGCTATAAAGTCATCAATCATCTTCAAAACTGTCGAAAAGAGATATAAAATGTTATGTTAAAACATTAAATTTCTAATGAAATTTCGAAATAAAGACTGAAACGTCCTTTCGATCATTTTTATCTTAATTAATGCAAAAATCTCTTTTCTTCAAATAAAAAAATAGAATAAATCAATAATATGCAATGAAATTATATGAAAAACAAAGTTGCCCAGTTGAGAGAGTGTTGAGAGAAGCGACGATGACAAGCTGACAACTCAAATCCAATGAAGTTCTAACTTATGAGGAGCTCAGTCATTCACGTTTATCAAAGACAAAGAAATGAAGAGAAATGTAATTAATGAGCAATTTGTATTTTCGGAAGATTAAAGTTTATTTAAATTCAAAATATACATTTACATGTATGAGATAAACCCTTCCTAGTTGTATCTTGAATTTCTCATCAAGAGGTTACAATTTTTTGATTGAAAAACACAAATTTTGGAAATGAAAGGAAGCTTTCAAACGAGAGCAGCGCATGAAACTGAATGAAACTCTTGTTTTTACATTGATAAATTCATCATGAGTTCTACAAGTTAGAGAAAGTAACAAACGAGGTTTTCTCATTCAGAACTGCCAGCGGTAAGTTCAGATTGGGCTTTGTAGACATACGAGAGAAACTTTGTGAACGGAAATTCAATCAGTTTTTAACCTTTGAAATGCTAGTTAACAAGAAACCGGAGAAGCAAAAGATATAATTTATTTGCAATTAATAAATATTCTTCAGAAAGAGACTAGGAGATGAGGATAAGCAAGCGAATAGAAAGGGAGGCTGCACAAGCCAAGTGAGTGAGAGCCAAACTGGACTCTTTTCTCGTAAATGTAGCAAACGTGCGTTTATTACATTATTATGGCTCTGAAAATGTTAACTCATATATGATTAAGTGAGTCGAACGGATAAGAAGTTCAAAATATTTTCCCCCAAAACGGCACTTTCTCTCTCATTGCTTACCAACCAACCCCCACCCTTCATTTTTTCCTTCTCGAGCATTTGTAGTTAATCCGTTTTCATGAAAATTGAAATTCTGATTTCAAGAAGAAACTTCAAATATTCAAAATTGGATTAAGTTCAAATCGGAAGTGACGATTAAACAATAAAGAGTTTTACATTAAAAAAGGAAAATGCGATTAAAAATCTTTTTATCCACAACTCCCTTTATGTTGCACGTAGCGCGGACTAAAACAGAAACCACCTAGCAATCTCTAGAGTTTGAGAAAGCGACAGAGCTGGTCGAAGAAAAGAGATCATATAGTATTCACGATTCAAAGTGAAATTCCAAATGACAATAATAATAATAAAATAAAAAAGAATAACAACAATAAATGATGGCTATTCAAGGCTAGCCGTGGAAGCGTCAAAAGAAGCGATAATTAGGTAGAAACGATACTTATTTGATTAGATATGTACATACATATCAATTATTTCAAAACATTCTAAAGCTTCTCCTTCCCATTTTATGAATGAATATGTTCTTTCCTCTTCAGGACAACTATTCGAACGTACAACCTCCTCTGATCCCTTCTCTCTTTCTTTTACTCTCTCTCTTACTCTCTCTCTTTCTTCCATTCAATCATTCACTCAGTTTCTCTTTCTCTATCTCTCTCTCTTTACTTTCTCTTCCACGCTCTCTTAGAAAAGTGAAAAAGGTTATGAAACTCACGGGCTTAATGAGCTGATTGCCTCGTAGATGATGGAAAAGCGTTAACGATGGTGAATCGGCCATCCAACGAAAATGCTGAAAAAACTTCGATTTTCAAAATAACTTCTCATCGAAAATGTAATTGCTGTTCAACAAGAAAAAAGAGAAAGCAGAGAAGGAAAACTTATAAAATAGTGTTTAAACTCTGTGACATCTATATCGTGATCAAACCCGCATCTATTGATGCATGGCGGAGAGGACAAAAAAAGGAGTAAAAGAGAAAAGAGATTTATAACAAGTAGGGAAACAAGAGAAACAATCGGGATGAAGCATGAACACAAAGATAAAGACCGAACCAAGATGAAGAAAACGAAGCTGAAGACAATGAAGAAGCTGAACGTGTCTTGAGAGAATAATGAGCTGATAGGAGAACATACATATATACCGATATAGATTGAAAATAAAACTTGAAAGACACATGAAAAGAAAAAATTAATGCCAACAAAAAAAGGAGAAGAAAAGAAAATTGAACAAGACTTCATTGAATTTCTATACATTTTTACATTGACAGCTATCCATTCAGTCAACTAATAAGCAGAGACGGCAATATCTAATTTCGGGAAAGGCAAAAAGCCATCATGATTCTTATAAATAGAGAGAAGGTTTCGTTCAGATCTGAAGATGAGCTTCTCTCACTCTCATCTATTTTTTCCCAATTCCTTTCTCTCTCCATATCGTTGTTTCGCACAAATTTTAATCGATTCAATTATTTCAGCTTTCAAAGTTAGAATTACTAGAAAATAGAATACACACCCATACATACATATATCCATGGCTCCACTTCATCCTTTTTTAAATACTTCACACATCCCTGCATGTACTATTAGAATATCCGACAAGATGCTCCAATGATTACATCACACTAGCCATAGATTTTTGAATTAGTGAAGTAGTACCGTACTAATAAGGCAGTAAACAACCTTGACATTTCTACAAAATAAATACATATGAGAATTCAGCATTCTAAAATGAAAACAATGAAGAATAATTTCGAAATTTACATATTTACAGTTAACAATAGCAGTCTTCAGCTTTTTTTCCAACAAAATAAACCAAAAAGAGGGAACAGACAGTTTCTACGACAACAAAAAATAAACAACCGTAGCTCGCGTTACGTACCAACCGAACTACCGACTAATTAATTCAAAATGAACTTTTTCACGCACAATTCACGTGACAAACTTCGCGGCGACGTGAAACAACTGGATAATGACCGAAAGAAAACAAAAAGATGTTCAAAAAAACATTTTAATTAGAAAAAAACTTTTTTCTTTAAAGATATGCAACGAGAGCTCAAACTAACATGATAGCATTACGAAACCAAATTAATAAAGATCATAACTGCCATCTGCATAGCTGGAGCTAAGTATAAGGAAACTGTTTGAGGAAAAAAATATCGTTACATTCCTTTTTTAATTATGGCTAGTGAGGCAGTAATATGAGAAGAGCTTGTCATTTATGACAATTTTACGTCATTTCCAATTTGAACAAAAAACAAAACATTTGTTTCAATAACATTTCTGTAGGAATTGGGTTGAGGGATGATGATAAGATAAGATTCCGGGAAAAGGATTGAATGAAAAACCAAGCAATTTGAGTCGAGTGTTCGAGGAATATTTCAAAAAGCGAAAGACCGCCGAAATGAGACTGAGATCTTCTTAATAAAGTTTGGAAACATTCTGTTTTCCATGCTTAAATCTTGAAAGCCAGGAAATCAAGAAGGGATTTCTTCTCCAAATGATACCAATTATCAGGGCTCATGAATTGCCTTCATTCATATGCAATTCAATAACTATGCCAATATGCAAAGTTTAAATTTGAAATCTGATGAAATGAATAAGGAACAAGCAAGAGAGGGAGCAGGAGGAATGAGAAAAAAAGAGTATAAATCATTGAAATTAGTGAGAGCTGTGTATGAAGATTGAAATATAAACAGAAAAAGCATTGATATCCTTCCAAGAGGATCGGCCAACGGGAAAGCCTCGTTGGAATTGACGAGCTTAATAAATAATTCTTTCTATGCGTCCAGAACCGCAAAAGCCATAATTATAAAGTGTAAGAGTTTTGAAATAGGCAGAAAATAAGCATATATACATACATACATATACATGCAGATACATATTTGGTGCCTTTGTGTATGAGGAGCGTGCACGTCATTTCGGATAAGGATTAATGTCATATTCCGTAAAAAACCTGAGAGAAACAAAAACAAAGGAGCAGATAGGTTTGACGAGGAGTATCTTCGTCTTAAGGTATGATCTGCCTCAAATCTCGCGATAATAAACTTGAGATCCCTTTCACCCATAACGTTTAAACAAAAAACTCTGACTGGACTTTCGTGAAGGGAATAATATTGATGATATATTATAGTTATAACTATCGATTGAATTCGTTAATGCAAGTCGAAAGGTATTCGAAAGGTATATATTAGGGCATTTAGTGTATATTATAATTGATTCAACTCTGATGCTGCTTAAAGGTGCCGAATTAAGCTGTGGAAGGATGTAGCAAGATGACGAATAGAAAGCTATAAGTATAAAAGAAACATAGTGAATATTATAGAAAACAGATGGCTTGTGATGCTGTCTTCGATCAACAGAGAAGTTAGGATTTTGAAAAATTCACGCCTGAATGACAAAGGAGAAAGAAAAGGACATAAACCAAAGGCGATAACGATTGAGAACATCGTCTTTTAGTGGCTTAGTTGGACTTCTAGAAAAGCAGAAACTTTGAGATGGATGAAAATTATCGGAGGGGATTCATTAGGTTGGTAAGAGTGCTTCAACTGTCAATTGAGTTTTCTGGTTTTTTATTTTAGTTAATGTTCGATTCAAAAAGAGCCGCTACTACTATGAAACGATTCTTTCATATTGTATTGAATGAATTAATGATCTATAAACACGCTTAGGATTTGAATTGTCTAGAAGCTCGAAGAGTTAACAACTAGTTGAAAGTCTGCGTTCCATTTAATGTATCGACAAATATCCACTCGTTGAAAGTTGGGACAAATTCTTCTAAATGAGGACTTTCAAGAGCATAAAAGTTATGAAAGTTCGAAATTTGATGATGAAATGAGCTTAATTACTGAGTTTTAGATCCTGTCTATTTGACATGATTTGACAGATGAGACAGAATCAAGAGTTTGGAATTGGTTTCGAAATTATACGACGTACATTATGCTCAGTTAACAGAAGAGCAGGAAACGTTTCAATCATAAGGAAGATTTCCAGGCAGAAATCACTGGTAAATAATGTTAAGCGAATAAGACGATATCCCATCAGCTCATCTCTTGCAGGAAGTTCAAAAATAGATTAGAATTTTATGAAAGCGGAATAAGTTTTGCACTTAGCCATCCTATTCTTAGCGATCAGGATCTATCTGCTGTAATATGATCTATATTCTTTTGAATTTCAATGCCTTTTCAGAAGGCTTCTGCAAGTTTTTCCAAAACACGATGAGTTGAAAAAAACGAGAAATGCACTTCAGAAAAAATGGTTAAATTTGTAATTAAAATTATCCAAAAAGTTTGTTATGATGGATGACATTGAGGAACTCATGAGCAATCTGCATACTTTAATAATTTAAAGGTACACTTGTACTTGAGTTGCTAGACTTCAACAGCCTCTGTAGATATGAATGATAAGATCAACTGTAAGCAAAGTTTTCATTTAATCCTAAAGCAAATTCATCTAAGAGTCACTACAAGTGCGGAAAATGAGATGAAGCTGGTTGAACTATAGGTGAAATAGTGAATACACTTGATGAGACACTTTTAATGAGATTCCTTATATGAAATGGAACTGAGAGATGGACATTTCCCTTCTCAAAAACAGAAAGATTATAAAAGAAAGAACTCTGTGAAAATGGATTTTCACTTTAACTTATCTGCCAATAACCGGATACGAAATGCTCTCATTCCGCTCACAGCTGATAAGACTTCTTGTTTCTTTCACTATAGCTCAGTGTTAAGTCCGATTAATTTTTGGAATCCAATAAATAGGATGGTTGGAATGGGTCATAATCCGTGTAGGAAAGTTGGATACAAAAACACATCCACTGCAAAATATCACTTAAATATCAAAAATTACACTTTCGAACTTGACAAGTAATCATTATTTCGATTCGTTTCACCCCAAATTCTTATGTACAGGATGTGAGGAGCCCAGAAAGATATTTACTGCCATGTCGAATAATACAAATCGGCCGGAGCGAACGAAATAACATAAAGTAAGACTTCTTGGAACATAGTGGATGCGAAACATAAACATTCTTTTCTACTCAAAACATCCAATGAGAGTTGCATTGTGAAATAAATAGTGAGAAACGCCGGATGTTAGACTTTGCATTCATTATTCTCATGTAACGGAAAGAAAAATCCAAAGTATAGCAATTTAAATATATGTCGGAAGCATTGAATGAATAAACTAAACAATTGCACTGCTGCTTTAGGACTCCCACATATCTTATAAACATCACTTGCTAATTCCTCAAAACCTTCATGACTTATGCAGTAATTCATCCTCAGCCCATTCCCTCCCGATTTCGCTTGAAACTTTCAAAAATCATTCGATAGTAAAAAGTAAATTGTCCCACCCAACAACCTATTAAACATCCATCTCATTCAACTTCCTTGTTAGCTGTTTAGCAGAAGTGTTCATCCAAATTAACCAAGCAGTAGTGCATGCCAGCTATTTTCAAATAAGCTTGCATGAGGAACGGTTGTACTGCAGCTCAATCGAACCTTTTCGACAGGTATATATAGCTTCAAAACTATTCAAGATAACAAGAACAAGAATGTCTATCATAGCGCATTTATTTTTATATGCTACACGGATATTGTACTCTTACTAGGTACACCGTCCTCAAACGGAGAGACAACCGGTAAAGTTTGCAAATTGTGGAAGACAGACTAAATTACAAGCAATGGATTAGTAATTCAGCAGACAAAAAGACATGCAATCTAAATGTATCTAAAACAATCCGAATAATATGAAAAGTATTATAACAAGAGATCATAGAAATGATGTGTTGATCCCGAAAACTCATTAAATGTAATTTAAAATTGTGAAGAGATGATTAGTATTTCAAAAGAATGGGTTAATTACATTATAATATTAGAAGGGATTGCGATTTATAATAAAAAAAAATGATTTAGGCACGAAAATCCGTATTAATTGCTTCGATAGAATTCCATTTTTTCATGTTTTGTTGAGACATGGATCTTCTTCGTGAAAACTTGGAGGGCATAGGAACAGCATTACGTCCTCTGTTTGTCAAATTATTAATAAAACAGCATTTAATGATTACCTGAATCGAGCACTATGCATAGAGCTACCACTTTCGGAAGAGCCCGAGCATATCGCACTATCGTCATCCTTCCTAGCTGTTCCGGTTAAGCACATCATAGATCTGAATTTTTAACATCAGAAAAGTTCACATTGTATCGTACAGACCCCACTACATTTCTATTTTTCAACAAGATTTTCTCAGGAGCAGCCTTAGCAGCGCTCCGAGTGACACAAGCTGGGTAATAATCAGCAATCGATTCAGGAGTAACATCTGCTGGGTTAGTAGAAATCAAAAATGAGGGAGCAATTGAATTGCGGATCTGAACAATGAATCTGATCTATATACGTAATTTGTCTGCTTACATTAATTGGAAGATTAGCAAACTGCTTATCTGTAGGGTGTATGAATTCACACCTGAGACCGTAGGGACACAGTGATCTAGTACCGTTTCCACTCATGAAATTCTTGCACAATCGTGTTTTATATTTCGGGTTGACACGAGACACTCCATTCTGAAACTGTTCTCAATAGAAGAAAGAAAGTAATTCTGTTACTTGATCAGACTGTCGCAACTCTTCAACGCCATGCGCATAGGGACATTTATTCCTCAGATCACACTCTTTTCCATGTGAATGTTTCACACACATCCTCGTCTTATAGTTAGGATGAGCCACACTGTTTCTATGAGGAGCAACTTCCTAAAATATGAACATAGCAAACAGTGACATAAAATGTCGAACCTCAATATGCGTTTTACTCTCACATATTGTTGCATCAGCTTCAGGAGAAATATTAGATACATTAGCCAGACAGACATCATCAGTTTCCATACTTCTGAAAAAGAGCTTTAATATATCTTACAGCTCTATATAAAAATACTTATGGTATTTCATATGTGCAGTTCGGATGTCGGCGTAAGGAACCTGATTCGTCATTGGCGGAGGTATAGCAATGTATTCGGTGGGAAGAGGGGTTGATGTCAACAATGGTCCTGCAGATCCATTTGAACCTATGAACGGTAAATAATAAAAAAAAAGATGTTTTGCGAACTAACTGTCATGAGTTATTTGACCATTCTGGAGGGTTGTGGTTGGAGGATGCATATACATGTTCTCATAGTAAATCTGCTGAGAGTTTGGATGAGCTCCATAAACAGGTGGCAAATATTGCTGTGTAGCGGGGACGTGGGGCTGAGGGAGATATACGTAAGACTGAGCTGGAAAACAACCATTTAGAACATTAGAAAAAATATTAAATGTATACCCATGGGAATTACTATTGGCTGTTGATGCCCTGCCATGACATATTGTTGTTCGCCGGGATAATAAGATGTTTGATATTGCTGATACGGCATCGAACCATGTGAAGGTAAAGAAGCATAATAGTACTAAAAAAAGATCCAGTGACGCATTGATAATGATCCATTCCTAAGTATTACTTGCTGATCCATAGCTGCAGTTTGCGTCTGTGATGGGTGCATCCCGGAATCGGCTCCCTGACGAAGTCTATAATAAAGAATATGAATGTCGAGGTCTTGAGGAATGCTACAAAAAAAGAATACTAATACTGAATGACGATAATTAGTGAGCGCTATTTCCACTGCCTTATATGGGCGGGAACGGATCAGTAGATCAAAAAATTAAGATCAAACTCGCAAAACTGCTCAAGCAGACAGAAATAAAACTGGTACTTTAACCTCTTGGTCGATCAATGAATTTACGCTCAATGTTTCAACAAAGATTTTTATTCTCAGTACGAAACATTCAAAGTCTAGTTTACAAAGCAGATTTTTCTTCTGTGGTTTGTTCGGCTGCTTTCTTTTTGGTATCAGCAGATACGTAATCTGATGCTACAAGATATCCAAAGACATAACGACGACCAATCATTTCACCAACAAAGAACCAGGCCAGAATCTGAAACTCAATGAAAAATTCAAAAAATTGTATTAACTGTAGTGCCTCAAGAACAACAGCTCCGTACACAGCAGCTTCTCGAACAGTATACTGGCGGTAAGTCTTGGTTTGAACAGCCTGTACTAGAGCCTTCCACTCTTTCTGAAGTTACGATCATGGTTTTGCTCCTATTTGACATTACCTGAATGACTGGCCAGTCAGCTTGTTTAGGAGGAGCAAGTTCATGCTTCCATACTGATCTGAGAATAGCGGCCCTACGAGGAAACTGGGCCTGAACACAGGAGATAATTGACAGTTGAAATAATAGTTCAAACAATAAACCTTTTGATGTCTATAAAGAGCTCCAAAGGAGTTAGCCAATTTTTCGATCATGTTCATCTGACGGGCAGCCATTTCAAATCTTAACTAAGCAAACTCTTTCATAAAACAGTAAATGAACTTCAGATATTGGTAGATTGAGCGACTATTAGTTACACCCTGACCGCTGAACAAAAAAACTGTTGTATGTACAAAAATCAAACAATAGAACACGAAAGCAGAAATTAGTATCAACATCTTGAAGTATAACAATTACTTTTGAAGCTAAAGCAAATTCACAGATCATCATTTAATGATATAACCTATTGTCCACCATTATGACACCTCGCGATTCAGGAACACATAACCTAAAGAATTAATAGAAAAGAAGAAACACCGCTGAGCTCACGAAGAATCAATAGGCAATGTTGAGTCATTCGATTCACCATTAGAAAGTTCAGGAGCTGAAGCTCTAGGCCTACGCTGAAAACAGTGATTTTCGTAATTTAACCTGTTGTGGTTCGACACGTACCTCGTAACCACCAAAAGTTCCTCCCTCTCTCAACTCACAAGAAGGAAACGTTTCGTTCCATTTGTTATTAATTCTTTCATTAGTACAGTTAAGACTAAAGCAAAAGTTGAAATGTCTAAGTGTTCCACCTACTATTCAATTTTTTCATTATTTGACAGGGAATCTTCCACACTCCTGCCACATTCTACTGACGCTTTGAGCCTACAATGCAAAAAACAAATCTTTTTCCAATTATATTCAAAAAAGCTACCTCGTAGGAGCTATGGCTTTGAAAATTTGCTTAGCGATTTCATAAGTTATAAGGCCTCCAGCCTGTTTGTCAACAAACAGCAACAATAAAATTCCATCGGAGCTTCAAAAACAATATACTGCCGTATACACCAATTAACTTTATACCCTAAAACTTTGTGAACACGCTTAGCAAACGATTCCGTTGAGGACAAAGGCACGAGAGATTGTAGCTGTCATATCTACATTATCATCAGAAAAAACTATCATATCTTACTGGAATGAGAGAGTTAATCAGACGAATCCTGTAACTAGGAAAAACTAGAAACAAGGCATAACGAAGAAGAGCCAAAGCATTGGCTGCCGTTAACACCAACAGCCAGAAGTATAGAAAAACGTATATTTTCTCGTTGATGTAGTTCAGCATCAAAACGCATTGCATGTTTTTAACATGAATACTAGCTAAGTCCTACAAAATGTTAACAATAAAGTACTTCATTTTGCTATCATATACCGCTTGATTAACACTGCACTGGACGATTCTTGGAAAGAAGCCATCAGTAGGAGAAACGTCGACGCTTGTCAGAACTTTTTCCATTACCTAGTTCACTAAATATTGACTGAAAAATATGTATTCTTCACCTGGAAACCCCAATAGTATTCTCCATTGCCTACGAAAACGGTTAAAGTGAACCATTGACCAGCAGAGTTTAGAAGTAACAAAACTTTACAGAGAACGTAGTTAACAGTTAACGTGAATCCACCAAACATTGATCTAAACGAAAAATATGTAACCGTATAAAAAAAGTTTTGAAAACTTCGTCTTTTTCCACTTCAACATTTTGCTGATGAAATGAGAAAGTGTTTTCAAAGTTTCTACTCTTTCCTTTCCAAGTTTTTCCTTCAATCTACCAGCTTCACTTAGAACGTTCTCGAAATCACAGCCTACGAAACTTATTCAAAAATCCGTAAACGTTCATACCTTTACTAAAATAGTTTCCTAAGCATTTTCTGATGACTCGCGGAGTGAGAAAGAACAAGGCTTGTAAAAATAGAACATAAGGAACCCACTGAACATAATATTTCATAGCCTGGCTAGTGACAAACACTCACTTGATAATATGCCACGCGCCCACTCTCTTTGGGATTGATTATTTTACTTAAAAAGCAACTTCCAAAACCAAAATACAAAAACACACCTATCAGTTTTTACATTATTAAAGTTCCAATTTTTCAAAATAAACTTCTCTTGGATGAAACAATAATCATGATAGTAGTTTACCCAAGAATCTGAATAGTGCAAACGATACTATAAGAGAGTGAAGGTACAATACATACCTGAACTCTCGGCAGGTGTGATGCATTGGATTGGGTTTCCGAAATGTTGTTTGGATCCAGTCAACAAAGCAAAAAAAGCCAACATGTAAACAGTAACTCCATAGTTCAATTGATCAACCACATCTTCCGTAGTGAAGTTTTCTTCATTCTAGAAGTAAAATAAGAGAGAGATAAAACCGAATTATGAACCTTAGTGAGTAAATCTAGAATTCCTGGAATATTAAGCATTTGAATCTGAACGGTCTTTCGGAAAACTTATGTCAAGAAATAATGTATTTTTTAGGAAGACATAAATTGTTCTCCAATTCACAGCTCAGTGTACAGAAAACCCGTAAGGTACAGTTCTGGAATAACAACAAAAAAGTTAAAGGTTCCAGTAAGCAGACCTTTACTTCGCTGGCGCGAAATTAGAATGGTATTAAATGGGTTATTCTAGCTTGTAATGAAGCGGAAACTTTTCTGAGAAACTTTTATTGGAACTTGGACAATTTCAAAGCAACATATAAAATCACAAAAATGTTGCGAGTGCTGAAGCTTGAACATTTACCGATTATTCAAGTATTTCCAGTCTTCCGTAGTGATCGATGAGCATTTGGGATCATCCAGACAACTCTTGAAATGTTGGAGTATGAAAAATATGACACAAATAATCACTTCAAGATTTTTCAAGAGCAAAGAGTAATCCAGCTCAAATCGGTCAGAGCAATTTTCATATCCATCGACGTAAAACAACCACAACTTTGGCGACTGATATCTGAACACAAATGCACAAAACAGCGTGTGATGACTACTTGAAGACAGTTTCTTTTGTTAACATTCTTTTCTGAAAGCATATATCGTTCTTCTCATGGAGGCTGCTCCAAGGAAGAACCCCCTCAGATAACTCGATTAGCGAGTAGAATAGTGATGCTATATCATCGCTTGGCGCCTGAAAACTTTTATTCTAGAACTACAATTTCAAACTTTACGTGGGCAATTTGTTGATGGGCGTTTATAGAACAATACTTTCGGGTACCGCGAAATTTAGCGTAAGAACTAACTCTCTAGTTGATGGAAGTGATAATAATTCTTAAACAGAAACATACATCAATTTTTCTTGATAATCCGAAATCCACTAATGATAGTCTAACTTTTTCTCCTTGCCCGATACACATATTGGAAGGCTTAACGTCACTACAACAGTACTGTAAAACAATTAAGCTGAGAAATCTTCTTCACCTGTGCGTATATCCAATATTATGAACAATATTTAAAGCGTCAAGGATGCATATACCAATTTTTACGACTATATTTGATTTGAACCTTCAAGTCTGATTTTCAGCATGAGATTATGAAAGAAGTTTTGCCTCCAATTTGCTAGCAGTTTCCTGATTCTTGACAAATTCGCACCTAACAATTCCATAACAATGAACTTGTAGTTATTGTGAGTGCCTTCATCTATCTAAACTTGCATAAGAATCAATAGAGTATAATTTTGAACCAATTCCGGAAATAAGACGTTTCCTTTCAATAAAGATAGTATATGATGCTCCGATGCGAAGTCTTGCGCGTTGTTGATCGCAATTAATTTTATCGCAAATGATTTTGGGGTATTCTTCAATCATCATAGAATTGTTTTTTCAAAGGGTACTGTTAGCACACCAAACGTGTAGCTGTGAAAACTTGACCGAAGGAGCCTTTGCCTATGTAACCAATTATTACATACTTATTCGCAAGAATCGTTGAACAAAAATTGTTTTTATTGTCTTCTTGCTGCAATGTTCGGATTCTAATTAATAAAGTGTTGATTATACGCACACTAGAAGTAATTGTTTTTTTGGCGTCAGACACTGTGTTGCTATTAAGTTTGTTCAGAGATGTTTCCTGTATGGAAGATATACTACTACTGAATCCACTGAAACTGTCCTCAATATCATTGATTACTTAAAATGTTATAAATTTTTATAAACTTCTCTCATGGCAAGAATAATGAGACTAAGATTTTGTATTGTTTACGTGGCGTGTATGTGCCACGTGAAATCTGATTTTTTTATCTTATAGTTGCGCATCAGTGATTCTAGCAAGAAAGCGTTAGTGTTGGTGTTCAGAGCAAAGCCAGTCATACATGAGATAGAAGCACATTGCGAAGAAACTGTTATAAAACATGGAGTTCTGATTCAGATAATCGAAAAGATATCTTTGTGTCATTGTTTTTCACTCAGGTTGGCTGACTGGTGATTCAGTACTGCTCCAATGTATAGTCCTGCGAGTTGTTGATCGCAATTAATTTTATCGCAAATGGTTTTGGGCTATTCTTCAATCATGGAATTGTTTTTTTGAAAAGTATTATTAGGATAATATACTACTACTGAATCCACTGAAACTGTCCTCAATATGATTGATTACTTAAAATGTTATAAATTTTTGTAAACTTCTCTCATGGCAAGGAGGTTGAAACTAAGATTTTGTATTTTTACGTGTCGTGTATGTGCCACGTGAAATCTGATTTCTACATTGAGTGTAACTACAAGCGGTTGGTTTTAGTTTGCGACTCCGTTATGAAGAGCTGAATGTTCTTTACAGCAAGGGCAATTTTGTGAATCAATAAGAAAAAAATCTTGAATAACAAAGCTAACCGAAATCAGGTGTGTTTTTTTAGTTTTCGGAAACCTACGTGTAGGTTTTGCGAGTGAAACAAAAGTTGATGTCTGTATTGCTATTATATCATACATGTTATCATATAATTGCGCATGAGTGATTCTAGCAAGAAAGCGTTAGTGTTTGTGTTTAGCCAGCTTTATGTAATCCTTGACGGGCATGTATGATGCAGGATGAGATATCCTTCTACACCCCACGACACGAGAGAACTTTAATCAAATTGCTCGTGTCTACTCCCTCTACATCTGGCTATTACTCAATAAAGCTTGGCATTTCCCTTTTTGTATTGTGTCATGGAAACGCCGTTTATGAGTCGAGCCTCTGTTCGGGCTTTCGACTCTTGACTCTAACCAGTTATTCTGGCCAATGTTATGCCTGGAGCGGGTGGTGACAAACTACGTCTTTGTTAGACTGAGCATTCAGCTCCTCTTTTCTTCTACTTTTTAACCAATGCCAATTATCTCACACCTCCCTCTTATAGTGGGAGAATGTGCTTACAAACTTTTTTAATGCAGTTGTAGTTTAAGAGCTGGTGGTTATCTCAAAACTTAGTAGCGATAACCGCTATCCTCTTTTCTTCAAAAACAATTCAACTGTAAAATTTTTTTTCTTTTCAAAATCATCGAACGAATTATTCGCTTCGTTTTCAAAAATTCGATGAGCTTTCTTGACAGCTTTAGCAAAAGGTGCAAAAACATCTCAGAATGGCTTTCAGCTGCTGTCTTTAATGGACATCCGACTAGCCATTCGGTCATTGCTCCGCCCACTTCCCAAGGGTTCGTCTGTCCCCGCCTTCCTTTTCCCTATCTTTTACTCACATAACTGCATAGCTTTCGCTTTCTTCCTCGAATTTGAAAACTATTTCTGACAAAAGTAGTTTTTTTTTGAACCTTGACTGAATCCATCTTACTTATTGATTGTGCTCCATCTCTTTTATTTTACACGAATGAGAGTGAAATGCCATGTTTCATGTTCATTAATTGTGCTTTTACTCGATTATCTGACCAAGATCACAGAAAAAAAACTAAAATTTCTATCCATTCTGTTGAAGACTCATTTATTTTGAGGCTTCGCAAGAATTTCACTGAATAATGAATGAGAAAAAGACAATTTTCTAGCCTTCATTTTGGGGTAAAAGAAGATGAAATATTTCGTCACAAATTTTCTTAATGCTGTTAACTATGCACTATTTCGTCAGTTAATGCCTAAGATTAATGGCGCTTTAGAGAATTTTTTTTGGCTGTCAAAATGAGTACTAGTTATTGACATTATATCGTTATCATTTCTTTGCAAATTGTGACTTCTTTCAAGTTATTATTATTAGAAAAACAATTTCGAAAAATTATGAATATCAACAATATGACCTACTTATCATCCAATTTCATGTTTTTCTGAGCTATAGGTCATGTAGAAAATAATTTTTATGGGAACCTTGAGATGAGGATTATGTTAAAATGTTCTTGTATTTGACAACATATTTCCAAAGCTCTACCCTACTTAAGAGATATCTCACTTCTAATTTCGCTCATATGGCCAGCTGACCAGTACCTCTTTGTATTCGCTTGGTCTGCTACTGCTTAGAACATATTAATGAATAACAGATTGAGTACCACGAACAGCGGCTTCTCCCTGTCAATGATTGTTGCGTACTCATTGAACTGAATTAATATTTCCTTATTCGGTGATTTTCATGTTTGCTACGAAATACAAGATTTGTATAATTTATATCGAATCATTCACGATCATTTCGGGAGTACACGTATGCGGAGAATGAGAGGCTACTTGCCCCTATCGATATTTCTGTGCTTAAGTGTATAGCTAACACTATTGCGTTAAAACCCAAAGCACATATTTTGTTTTTTTTTTATCTTTTTTTTTTAACCGAAACGAAAGAAACGAAAAGTTTAAGTCCAACAAGGTATTTACTCGAAGGATTACTAGCTTTTTCTTTTCATACTTGGATTTTGTCTAACTTTAAGTTAGCAAAGAAGAAGTTGCAACCCTTCTCTGGTATTGTTTTGATATTTATTATGATATTATATTACATTGTTGAATAATGAATATAATTGCGGTAGAAGCTTTGACTTCCGAAAGCATCATGTATCATCATGTTTCTAATTCTATTCTTTTCAAGTTCTCATCGCTTGACTTAATCCGTCATCCACCATGCGGTATTCGTTCATCCATAAAAGTGTATATGACGACAAGGATAGAAATACATGTGGAGATTCCCTATGTTTCAATGAGCTATATCTCGTCTGTATATGAACAAAAATTCTAAAACATCAAATTCCTGCATACTTAGTTATAGCAATTGACAACTAACTGGAAATTGAAATCGAAATGCCAATTTTCGACTAATTCTAGATTGATAGGCATATGAAATAAGATCTTTCTTTTCGACATGAAAATCTAGACAGAGCAGGTGAAGAGAAAAATGCTTTTTTTTCAATGTTCACCCTATATGCCAGCTGTGTGAGAGATTTCGGTGGCTGCACCCGATTCTTATAACATTTTTTACTTCATTTTTGCTTGCTCATCCAATGTCAGAATAGAAATCTTTTGTCTCTTTTGATTTCCCATGCAACTTTCAGTTCTTATGTTTTTTTTCTTTCTCTTCTTTTTACTTATTCATCACCAAGTTGGATCCGGTTGTGAATGCGTGATAGAGAGACTTTCAAAACTGTAAATGCTCGATACAAACTGAAATAATCTGATTTTTTAAACTTGTATAAGTTATAGTTTTCCCAGACAACTTGATAATGACATTATCCTCTCTGGTGCAAATTGCTCCACTTTATTTCGTTAAACCCGGATTTGAGCCTATTAGAGCTCTCTATTGCTTGTTTGAGAGTTGCTTGATAGCCAACTATTCATGCTCAAAGGCCAATAGCTGCAGTAGAGATTGAATACATTGCAGAGAGACAGCTGTCGACGCAGAGAATGGTCACTTGGGTCCCAAGAAGACTTGCGACCTCCAGCAGCCATCTCTGCTCTCTTATATAGATTCCTCTATGACAAATGAGCTGCTGAATGAAATTAAATGTGAAGATTTTCTGAAATGCTTCTGCTTCTATCTTCCCGGAAATGAAGGAACGGACCTGACTTAGAGCTTCAGAATCGTCTTTTCAGTTCTCTTTGATCATTATCTTTTGATTAGTTGTGGAGAGAGAAGAGTTTGTAGCTTATTCATCGCTTAATTTAAGTCTACTGAGTTGCGTATAAACAGCTCTTATAATTCGGTGTAATCTAATGTCATTTTTAATTGTTATTTCTTTTATGCAGCTGATTATTTTTTATTTTTGTTTCATTTTTTAATTCTTTTCCAGATTTAGCTAGCATGCTTAGAATAGAAATAATATATATCTCCGACTAATGTGGGAACGAAACAAAATGATTTGTTTTCTACTATTATTCATACTACAGACGTCTTTTGCGTATTCCAACCCGCATACTCAGGTAATACTTCTTCATTTTTGTAAACATTCGTTTCCATTTTTATTGAATTAACTTTTGGGGTATTCATGCGTTTCTTTCCCCATTATTGCTTTTTCCTTTTTTCATTAAGTTTTAAAAGGCGCTACGCTTCAAATTAAAGCCTTCCTGTGGCTATTTCGAACGTTACGCTGATATGAATAATGGGTTGGTGAGAATATTTGGATCAAGTAATTCATTCACGTATGACATAAGCCATGCCAAGTGACATTTCATTATTGACTCTGCTTGCTGCCTGTTGCTAATTAGATTTAATAAGATTAATCACAAGGCTGTTTGTTTTTCAAAACGGTCGCTTGCGTAATGCGTCAACATAAAGGGTGAAAAGATGCACAGCGGGTACCGACTATTTTTATATCACCCTTATATAAGATATATATTCTTGAACTCCTCTCTCTTACTTTCCTCACTCTTTTTTTCTCTACGAGCTGTAATTGTTCTTCCTCTGTTCTTCGCGTTTTCTTTGTTAATTAGGTAACAGCTAAGCGTTATTGCAGCGTAATTAGTTTATACGCGCATTGGTCTTTTGGAAGTCGCCTAAATTTTTTTCAAAGAAATGTAGAACAATTATTAGAGGAGCTGTTGTTGCATTCAGATCAAAGTAGCATCTGCATCTTTTTTCTCCATATACACATAAATTCCAACTTTTCTTTATATTGTATACGCTCTCATTGTAATTCTTGCTATATTTTTGGCGGAACACAAAAGCTAGGATGGAGAGTAATCAGCATTTTATGACCAGTAGTCAGGGTGCGTAACTACTAAATATCTTCTGTAGACAAAAGAGAACCGAGTTGACGTCTATAGATTTTATAACGAGAAGCCGAAGCAAATCGTGAATCATATTACGAAACTCATTTACAGAGGAGACTTTACCATTTATTTCTATTTTCCTGAAAAAAATTTCCAAACTTCACACAGCACCTGATCTCATATTGCCAGCTGTGCTGGACACTTACATATATGTTTGACTACGCGTGGTTCGGGTCACTAATATTAGAGGATTTTAGAGCTTCGGGGCTCGACCTTATTTGCGAATAGAGCATGATTGTAATTTGTATATGCATGTTGGGTCTCGAGCTACCATCATCCAGAGCGTTCGTAGTGACGTTAATTTTTTTTCTGAAAGAAACTAAATTTTTGTGCAGTTTTCATAATTGCTCAGAGTGCTTGTAACTGCACAATATGAAAAAGCAGACCTCCTTGAAAGACCGTGTAGAACACGCGTTGTGGTACTTCAGTGACAAAATGAAATCCCCCCAGGCTCCATATGAAGCTCGACCTATATTGTTTAAGAAGCTCTATGAGGATACTTATGTAGAGGAAGCCTAAGTAGGCAATGTCTTAATACTGAGTGACATCTACTAAGAAAGAGATTGGATGAAATTAGAAATAGAGAAGCTTGAGTTGAATAAATGACAAATAGTATTTACCTTCTTATGAAACTGAAGGAGCTATCAAATTTTCGTGGCAACGAGGCAGGTGGTAAAGGTTTACAAAATGCATATTACACGAAAAATAGCGCCCACAGATCCTATTAAATTTCTCAGGCAATTTCTTTTTTTTCAAATTTCATATACCTGTTTCAGAAACTATCGTTTGTTATAAACGAAGATGTACCTTCTGGCTGGCTCCTGGCTGACATGGAAGATTACGGAATTGGGAAGATTGATAGCCTGGTCTTTCAGTCAAACGGCTATCCCATTACATTGAATACAAATTATCAGGTTCGGTTGATTAGAATGAATAGTTAACAAAAGTATTTGTTAAATATATGTTTCAGCTAGTAACAACTGCCCCCATTAAAGGCTATTCTGGCGATACTTTCTCAACTTTCGTCACAGATGTAACAAACGATCGAGTATGGGAGTTTCATATTTTCATAACTTCGAGGTAATGTATCAGGTTATACATATCTCATACAATGATTGAAGGCAGCTTGGATGTACCCATAACACGTACAATATAACTGTACCATACTCAACAGCCCAGACAATAACTGTTAGGAACCCTGTTAATGTTTTGGGGAAAGGACCTGGTTCTTTAAAGTTCAAGGTGTTGAGAACGGCGCCAGGGCAACAGACTATCAAAGTTTCGACTTCTGACCCAAACCAGGCACAGTGATTCATAAAAGCATATATTATCTATTATATAATTTCAGATAACTATAAACACTACAGTTTCGAGACTGTTCTCCAAAACGTCTCATGAGGTGTTCATTGGTGTATATGATCGTAAGAACAGTAATGTTCACCCTATTGCCATCTGTCAGGTCGATTTTTTGTTTATTAAAAGTTGCAATATATGTTTTACAGATTGCCTTGAATTTCGAACAAACAGAGAGATTTTTTGAAAAAACCTCTTTCATATTGAATGTTCACAAGAAAGGGAGTAAGAGTTCATTCGTTCATCTACAGAAAATGTAAGTGAATTCAAACTTGCGATTTTCTATACTTATATTCTCCACAATCTTGCTATTTCTTATTGGTTTGCTTCTTCCTCCGTTTGTTATATGGTGCTTTTCCAATAAAGAGAAGAGTGAAGGAGATGCTTAACGAGATTAGCAAAAGCTTCTCTACATTAGCCGCACTCACCATGCGAGCTGTATCTAGTTTTGTTAGTCATTGCTTGAGATGGTGGCCAATTCTGACATCCTGTTTGGTAGTGGCGGGATAGCAATAACAATAAGCATCATGACCAAATTAGAAGGTCAATCCACTCAAATCAGAAATTTCAATAGTTTTCCTATATTTCATATTGTATGAGATAGATAAATACACAAAACAAAGCCGATGATGCACTTAATAATTTTCTTGCAGGGTTCAAATTCCAACTCAGTGGACTTTCGTAGTAGAACCTATATCTAAAAATATCACGTTCGATGGCAGCACCCTAACTGTGCCCGGTAGTCTGCCCTCTGGACATCATGACTTTCATATCATTCTATATAATAGAATGGATAAAGTATTTGTTAGGCTGATTTAATATATATATCACGTGTTTTCCTTAGATTGATGAATGCTTTGTTGTTATGACAACAACAGAAGAAGCTGTGTTCTCAAAAAGAGGTTCCAGGAATGCAAAAGAGGATATCACGTGGAGCGTGAAAGAAAATTCTGCTCCCCGTATTTTAGAAAAGGTTTTTATCCCGAGATAATTCAAATTATTTCATTATTCGAACTTTGCAGAAAATCCGACTGAATAAGGGTGAGACTATTGTCAATGCACCTATCGTTAGTGAATTCCTGACAATTCATAATGATGGAAGCGTAGAGTTAACAAAACGGCTCAACTATGAAGAAGTATCTGAATTGGTGAAGAATATCGAGATCGAAGGAACAAGACGAAGTAAGTGGCTTAGGGGTTTAATAGAAATTGGAACAGTTGACAGCTGGTATGATTGTTAGTTGGGAAAGTATGGATACATGCTCAGTAATGAGGAATTTTCTGTGGAAATTGGTTTGATATCAGTTAGTCGGATAGCAATTAATTGTATTTGAGAGTATATTCTGTATATAAGGGTTATTTTCAAGAACTAATGGTAATATTGTTCATTACTGTTCACATTTTTGTGCTTACAGTGTCTATTCACGATTGATATGAGTACTGCTAGTATTTTGTTACAATCTGTACGTACATTGTGTTAGACTTCTAATTTGAAAATTCTCATTCTAATTTCTACGAGTTAGTTTGAAACATTCATTGCTATGTTCTCTTGGGACTGCACTTGTTATCCCATATTAGTGTTCAGTCATTATGAAACATAATTACTCCCCGATGTATATAAATGGGTGATATTCTTTTATGAATAGCCACATAAATATGGGATGATGACAGTTGGTGTCAACTCCTTTCCCTTTGCATTGAAATAGCTGAACACAGTTGACAAACTCAAAAATGCGAGTATGATCTGATAATGTATGTATATCTCATGAACTGGAGCATGATGGTTGTCAATAGTGACCATCTGTAGCTTCTATCTTTCCTACATCATGATTTTGAAAAGTTGTCAAAGTAATCCAGGCAAATGTAAACCCTTGGTCTCGCAGGCGTGTCACATCGGGGCCAAGATATAACATCTTTTGTGAAATTTTAATATATGTATTGGGAGTATGTCAATCTATCTCTCTTATCGGCTAACTCCATCAGTACGTGCTTTACCACTCAAAAGCTCTTCTTTTGAACCAAGGGAGATGTATGTGGAAAAAATGTTAATTCTTCGGAAACGGCTTATGTTTAAATTTCATTGAGCCAGTGGTCGTAATGCCTACTTCTTTTGAAATATTTGTTGGCTTGCATTCGATTTCGATGTTAGCATTTTGCAGTCCTCTCGCGCAATTGAGTTTTGAAAAAAGACTCATTAGTCACTTTCTCCTCCATACCAATGAGTCAAAAAGTCAGTACACTGATGCTTAGCTTTGAAAAATTTAAAATGCGTTGTTCTTTCTTCTACTTTTCAAGTTTGTTCGAAGGAAGGGACTGTTTGACTAAAAAAAGAAAAGATAGAAAGTATATGGCATTTGGCTAACGGGGTGCGAATTATGCCAGAATGAGATTAACGAAGTAAGTGGGTTTTTGGAGGACTGGAATATAGTCAAGATTCTAATGACCGTTTTTGGGAAATAGGGGTTCGAGAACAGCTGGGTGAGAGACAAATGCGTAACCCTAAGAGGTCGAGAAGATGAGAAATTACTGACAGGAAGTATAGCAGATGGTTTTAGGGAAAAGGAAGTATTATATCTTCATGTTCGAGGTATTCCCGGAAAGATAAAAATCTTTGATTTTACGGGATTCTTTTGAACATCTAAAATAATGATTCTACTTTCCTTCATCTCTCATAGCCATCTGGTAGCTTTCAACTATGTCCGTTGCCATTTTCAACCATCTTAAGTCTAGCATAGATGTAGTCATCAGTAAATGTGCAAATTCAATTAACTCAATATTAGATCATGAGAGAATCTGAAAGAAGCCAAATATGTTCCTCCGTCGAAAATGTTTGATAGGTCCGGTTTGAATAATAGGGATTACTAGGGGAAAGGTGTTCGAAACGGGAATTGAAAAGCAGCTTACTCGATGTACATAATTGGAGGTTCCTGAATGGAAAGATATGCATTAGAACGGCTTTGCTAATTTTGTAATACAAAATACTTTGTGTATCGTAGAGCAGGTGTGTACATACATAATAAAATGAATTGCTGTTGTTTATATGGCTGTTTACCGTTTGTCATACCTCGCTCGTTTCTACACTTTCCTTGAAGAATATGAATGATATTTCCGGCAAAATAATTTGGTTGACCTATGTTTTTTTTTATCGAAAATGAGAGTTTAGGGCCACCTGTCTGATTCCTAACAATTGGATTAGCATACTCTAGTAGGGTTCTAGATATCTTCTCACATTACGTTATGAATGAATGTGCTCGAGTACCCAACGAGTTCCTTCAAAGTAAAAAAGATGACCTCGTTTACTTGACTTATATGGGGATTTCTTATTTCAAAAAATCAGCATTAATTCATAAATATTTAGTGAGCTCAGCATCATTACTGATTAATATGAATATGAGAAAACCTTCCTGATTTATTTTTGTTTTCAATGTGTTCAAGTTAGTTGACAACATCAATTCAACTAATGATGGATGCGCTTATTGTGAGGATTTATTTTTGTATCCAACTGTCATTGTCCAACGTGTGAAAATGATGACATATGTTCTGAAATTAACATATGGATAGTTCTGGAAAAAAAAAAGTCATACGAATCTAATGTGTTTTACACTAAATAGCTCCGAGAGAGCAGTTTAATAGTTGGGATAATTGGAAATTGACTGTTATTAAAAGTAAATGTTGGCATAGACAGAAGTTGGCTTGAAAATTTTCTATAATCGTCGTTTGTAAATCACATGAAGTTACGACAAAACTAATTCCACGTAATGCTAGGCGCTTTTACATTTACACTATGAAAATGCAATGAGCCGGCTGAGTTCAACTGCGTGAGATAAAACATTGATATGGACTATCTCTTTCAGCTAAACAAAAAATTTTACGAATTATTGTGGAGGATATTGATGAAGCACCTGCGTTTCTGAATGGACCCTCTCCATATTTGGCAGTAGTTCCACTTGATAAACCTGTCGGGTATCATGTGTACAAGGCATGAGTTCACTTTTATCTGAGATTTCATTTTTTTTTCAGTTTGAAGCTCGCGATGAGAACGGTGATGGTGACTCTGACATTGCCTATAAGCTAGTTAACACTGAACGTATGCTTCTTCTCATTTTTATACTCAAATAAGGTCTCCGTTTAGCACCAGGAGCGTTCACTATTGATGACGACGGTATCGTTCGAACTGCTTTAAGTCAGTACAACTTGGGATCATCATATAGAGTCTTAGTTCAAGCTCTGGATAAAACACCTAAAAATGATTCCAGCAATCAGGTTACTTTTCCACGGTATTATCTCAGACTATTTTCTTTATCTTCAGTATTCTGAGGTGGCTAAACTTGAAATACTTGCTGCAGATCGTCCACCTCAGTTCTTAAAACAACGCTACGAAGTTTTTCTTCCAGAAAATACTCTAGTAGATAGTAATGTTGTGGACGTGCGAGCTCAACGATTTAGGCCTGTTGATGACCGCAGATCAAAGGGTCCTATAACCTACTCGCTATATACCGCAGTATCTACGGCTGCGAACTCCGAAAAGAGAGAACCTTCCAGTTGGTTTCGAATCAACCCTTCTTCGGGAATCGTATATTTGAAAAGACAACTAGACTACGATGATCCTTCTCAACCTAAACTTCATAAGTTAACAGGTTAGCTAGACATTGTGCAGTCCTCAGCGGAACACTAATGGAGTTCTTTTTCAGTTGTTGTTCATGAAGACGGAAAGGAGAATAGCGTACCACTGGATATCTATCTTGCTGATACTAATGATAATGCTCCGGAGTTTTCTCGTCCATTATACACAGCACAAGTTAAAGAAGATATAGGAATCGGGGTGACTATATTGAAAGGTATTAATAATGAAGCAAGCGGAAGTTATTATTTTTTCGTTCCAGTTGACATTGAGGATAAAGATGCTGGACCAAACGCAGAGATAAGATTTACGGTCGACAATGATAACTTTACGATTAATGAGAACGGAGAGATCTCTGCAATTAAAAAACTAGATGCTGATCAATTCAAGGAACGATTTTTCATATACCGTTTTAATGTAACAGCTACGGATGCTGGATCACCCCAATTGAGTAGAACAGCAACGGTATGGAAAATATTCAACATTTTGGAAACTGAATGATTATAGGTACATATACGAACTGAGAATACAAATGACGAACCTCCTACTTTTTTACCGACGGACCAGTTTTCCGCCTTTGTTGCTGAAGATGCTGAAGGTGGAACACCTGTAGTGCAAATTCAAGTAATAAGTTGAGGCCGTGGACATTAAATACTCAAATCTTATAGGCTCGGGACCCTGATCGAGATCAAGTCGAATATGGATTTGTAGATGAAAACGGTAGAGAAACACAAGAATATGGTCTCTTCCAAATCGATAAAGACACAGGTAAACTATGAAGGTCGCAAAAATAAATGTAAATTTTTTATCAAAGGACTAATCAAACTGAGAACCCATGTGCAAGCTCTCGAACTCTTGAAAGAAAATTCCCCTTATAAACTGAGAGTTGTGGCGAGGGATGATGGTTCTTGCTGTAGCTATCCCTCTGAATCACATGCTGCTTATGCGATTGTCGTTATAGGTTAGGTCAAACGAAATGTCTCAGCTGTAACCCTGTAAATTAAGGTATTGAGGATGTGAATAACAACAAACCTGAGTTTCCCGACTGCGGGCGATATGCTGAGATAGCTAAGATTCGCGAAGGTGTTTATAAAAAAAATCCACCAGTTATAATAAAAGTGGAAGCAACTGACGAAGATTCCTCATCTAATGGGGAAATAGTTTACTCGTTGTACTACGCACAAACAGAGAGCCGGAAACCTTTCATTATTGATAAGCTCACTGGAGTTCTCACACCTTCTCCTCATGTCATATTTGACCGAGAAACCCGTCCTAGAGAAGATGTAACTGTTAAGGTAATTATTGTTATAACGAAGAGTTAATTTTCTAAATACTGCAGGCTACAGACAGAGGCGATCGCCCTTTGATTGGTTTTTGTCAGTTTTCCGTCGAAGTAGTCGATGTGAATGACAACGCTCCTCAATTCGAACGAGCTTCGTATGAAACCAGCATTTCCAGAAGCGAAACTGTCGGGTACTGCAGATTATTTTTTATAACTTATTATACATATGCATAGAACTTCGGTGCACACTGTTTTTGCCTTCGATATTGACGCTCCTCACAATGCTCGCGTAACCTATCACTTGGAAAGCGATCCAACAGCGGGTCTCGAGCATTCAGAAGACATGAGCTTTTTCGAAGTTTGTTTCTTTATAAATTTTTGGACAACACTTTAAAATGTTTAGTTTAAACATGAGAACTCGGGAGAGATAACGTTGATAAAGGAAGTTCCAAAAGATGATCAAGTATGTAACATCTGATAGATTCTTACATATTTCAACTATACAGAAAGAAAAATTTGTGTTCAATGTTATTGCGAGTGATAATGGTTTACCCGAAGCTCAATTTTCTACAGTTCCTGTGATCATCAAGATTCATGAACGCCAACAAGTTGCTCCACGTTGGCTTTCGTCTCCGGACTGCCGAGATATCGTTACTGTCGTCGAAAACACTGAAGTGAGAATTCGTTTTTTTTGTGTCTCAGTTTTATTCTTCAGGTTAATAAAGTACTTCTGAGTTGTCATGCAGTAGCTGGCGATGGATCAAAAAGTTCTATATTTTACAAGTTAACCGTTGGAGGACTGAACAGGGGAACTAAAGCAGACAGCAAGTTTCGACTCTTCAACAAAATTGAAGACGGACGCGAATGGGTGGAAGTAGCTATTATGGAGCCTTTAGATTATGAGCAAGCTCAAAACTATACACTGTCGCTTATTGCCACGGTAAAAATCAAAACAATAAAAGCAAAGAAAATAGTTTTCAGGATGTAAACTCTCATGTATCGTCATCTAGAAGCTTCACTGTTCTGGTTACAGATGTAAACGATGTCGTCCCACAATTCACTGTTGATTTATTCACAGGAACCATCGATGAAGGACTGACAGTCGATGACTTCATGAGAAAGTTTGAAAATAATGTTTTCTCATAATTTTAAACTGTTCCAGAAACAATGGTAAAGCAATTACAACAGTGAAAGCTCAAGATACTGATTCGCAGGGTCCACAGAGCGAAGTTCTATTTTTCAACTTATAAAAGTAGTCTTCAACTTTCAGGTGCACTATCGTATACTAGATATGCCAGGTTCAGATGTGAACAAGCTTTTCCGAATCGATGAGTTAACTGGAGAAATTTTCCCTATTGCAGAGTCAGTATATTTGGATTCTTCAAAAATTAATTGTTTGGTTGTAGGTTTGATCGTGAAACAAAAGATATGTTCATACTAACTGTGGAAGCCAGAGATAACAAACCTTCGGCATTACCCGGTGTGAAAGGGCCCAACAAAGACAATGTCAAAGTTCAAATTGTAATCGGTGATGTTAATGACAACCCCCCTTTCTTCAATGGATCTGGATATGAAGGGCATGTACCAGAAAATGCTGACCTGGGGCATGATATCATAACTATCAAAGCTCATGACTTGGACAAACGTAAAATATTGAGAGACATTAGTGTAAGACTTAATTGTTTTTTTAAAGATTCAAACCTTCGTTATGACCTTACTAGTGCTCATGGAGAAAAAAGAATACCATTTGGTGTGAGAACAGATAGTGGCGTCATATTTGTGAAGGTAGATAATAGGCTCGATGAAGTAACTAGTTATATCTGAAATTTATCACAGGAGCCCTTGGATTACGAGCAAAATACTGTATATCAGCTCAAGTTACAAGTTTCTGATGGAAAGCACAACACTTCTACAGATGTTTTCATCTACGTCGCTGATGTTAATGATAATGCACCGATTTTCGAGCAAACCTTGTATTCAACAACAGTGCTTGAAGAAGATCCTCATATACCCAAAACATTGTTCCAAGTGCGTGCCACCGATGCTGATATGGATGAGACCAGTGGAAAAATTATTTACCGCCTCGAAGGGCAAGGCGCTGGAGAATTTTTCCAGATTGGTAAGGAATCTGGTGTGATCCAGTTAATCAAGGTGAGAGTTTCGTTACGACTTAACATGTTCAATTTAATTGTTTCTAGATACTTGATCGAGACCCACCGAATGGCGTTCCAACTTGGAAATTTATCGTACAAGCAATAGATAATAACGGCAATGGTCTTATTGGTTACGCTGATGTTCAAGTTTGAAAGTCTGAATTGATTTAGAGCATTAAATCGTTCAGGTCGTCTTGAAAGATATCAATGATAACGCTCCCATGTTTGCGGATGACTTGTTCGGCTACGTTGAAGAAAATCGCGAGCCACATTGTAATCTTTAAATCCTTTTTATTAAAAGAAAAAAAATTTAGCTAACGAGGGTGTCTACTTCATGGATGTAAGAGCAACTGACTTCGATGATCCCACTACCGACAATGCAAGACTGGAATATAGTATTACTCTCAATAAAGAAATAGATGGTGAACCCGTGTTCCGAATAGATCCTACTTCAGGAAAAATATTTGCTATGGTAAAAAGCTACCTTGGATAACTTCTTATTTTGAAAGTAATTTAGCGCAGTCTCGATCGGGAGTTGCATTCTGAGAAAGAGTTTGTTATCGAAGTCAGAGCTACAGATAAGGGAATCCCACCACGTGAAGGTTGGATTTTTTGATTTCCTAGTAATATTCTCTTCAAGGTTCGGGCAACGTAACCATAAAAGTTTTGGATAAAAATGATAACGAACCTTACTTTGAACGCCAATTGTATGAAACATCTGTACCTGAAACTGCTAGAATCGGATCAGCTGTTATTAGTGTGTCAGCTCTTGACGAAGACAACGAGGCCATGTTAGTTCTCATTTCGAAACTGGGTGCATAAAGCAATTTCAGAGATAATGTGTTCACCTACCAACTGGCTGATGATTCTAAGTATTTTTATATGACAACTGATAGAGATTCGTCAAATTCATACGTTGGAGTCCTTCGTGTCAAACAAGTAAGTTTTTTTTTCAAATACAATTTTTGAGTTACGGTGGCTTGAGTATTTTAAATTTTATGAGTAACTGACTTCAATACCCACCTCTCTCTCTCTTCCATCTTCTTTGTTTATTCTATTTTATTCTTTTTTTTCTCTTCTATAGTTCTCAACGTTTTATCATTCTCTACTGTTTGAATGATCATAATTGATCATAAAGTTGGATGATTTTCAAAACTATTTGATCTTATCGTCTTCATAGTCTGAATTTCCACCTTCTTATTTTTCTAGTCCTGTTGAAAACACAAATCGTAATGCTTAGCAAGTCATGCAAAAGTTTTACCTTAATTGAACCAATTATACACAATGCTTGTTAGAACTCGTTGTCGGCTCTTTATGACCTAAATCATTGTAGTTTAAGAAACATGCAAATTAGGAACACTTATTTTGCTTGCTAGTCTATTCAAGATCTTGATTTTGCCTCATTCAATGTTTCTCAAGTCAAGGTCTACCTACAGCTTCTCATAAATGAGCGCCATTCTCTTTTCGAATTTACATCGGAGAATTTCAAGACACAGGTGTCTTGTTTAAAATATTTTCTTTGATGTTGTAATTAAAATTCGACTGTTGTTAATACAACGACCACCTCACTATTTAATTAATATACCATTTCTCTACGCTATACTTTTTTTCAAATTGCGAAAAAAACTTCATTGCTTTAATTGCTGCTCATTCCAATTTCGGTGAAAGAGTCGTTGACGAAGTTACCGATTTTTCTTTTTTCTTCAACACTTAGTGATTTTGATTAATCTTTTGCTTCTTCTGAAATATCTTTGTTTACATTTGTGCTTCATTGCTTACTTCACACATAAGGAAGGGTCATACTAGACCCTTACTGCGGCTTATTCTAAGCTTTGCAACTCAATCTTAGTAGTTTGTAAATATTTTTGCGTATTGACCGTTATCGATTGATCGTACATTCACTTACAAAATCATTTTAAAGAGGTTTGTTCCTTCTGACGATTCTTCGAAAATACAAAGAACTGACTAGTAGAATGATATGACCCTTCCTCCTCTTCAGCTCGTCTCATTTTACAATCAAGATACATATGATGGTGTTGAATCTCCACTTATGACGATAATGTTTTTTCTAACCGTTTTCGATTATGGGATTAGAATAGGATTTCTGAATTTTCGTGGTTTCATGTTTCCTCTCTAGTAGCTCAATTGAATAGATAACTCAAGAAGAAGCACTGTAGTATCATATACATATCTATTTGAGCTTCATATTCACAATTATCATTTTTGTAATGAGTGGCCCACTGTGCTCATTTTTCGGATTAATTGAAATACAGTGAGCTTCTATACCTTGGTGTCCCGTATCTTTTTGTCTATTTGATTGAATGGCATTTCATGCGGCAGCAACTTAAGAAATGTGTCTTCTATTACTGCATCGAAGCCAACAATAGTTCAGCGACCTTGATATGGCTTAAATAATAAAGCTGCTTCTAACGATCGCATGATTGACATACCAGGTGCGCTCTTAATCTTAGTAAGCCTTTCATTCTCATCTGCATCAGCATGTGAGGAAGATTTTTCTTTGAATAATCTGGCATCATTCTTAGCAGGACTTTCTTTTAATCTAGTCTTTTCATCTGGTGTTAGAGAACCATCATCTTTCTACATATAACTTTTCTTTTTTCTTTGGAACTTGAAAATCTTAGAGAGAACCAGACTTGTCTATCTACCGTTTATGATAGACGGACCTTATTTTTTACATGTATGGACTGTGTTCAAAAACAGAGCGATTAACTTTAGCGTTTTAAGTTTACTTTTATTCTTTCTTTAATTGAAGCAGCCATCTTCTACCTTCGATCCTAGTTCTAGCGTTCCAGTAACCTAGTTCTTCAAATTGGACATTCATCTGTAATGCAATGATTCTTTTTGAGGTTGACTCATGTCTCAGTGTGTCATCAGCGCAAGTCTTGTTTTGATCCTCTTTTTCAAAAATATCTCCCTTGCATGTGAAGCGAACTCTTCCAGTCCTGCGGTCATCTTTGTCTAGTTAAATTGAAATCCTTTCTTATTTTCCCGTTTCGTTTTCTCAAATCCTTTTCTTTTCACAGTGTGTATATGTGTTTGGACGTGTTTGACAGCTGGGCTGAAGAAACAGTTGTCAAATGGGTAGACTGATGAAGTTGGTCCCATGTTCTTCCTCTCACTAACAACCATCTCATATATGCCTGAAAATCGTCCTTCCTTTTCAAGAAGTTTTCGAAGTATCGCCATGTTCGTGATATCCTCGGATGAAAAACTGTTAATAAATTTCTTTCGTCTTCTACTTCCTACAGCAATTATCTAAACCCGACTACCTCTATCCTGCTGAAAGTCCCAGCTTGTTGTTCGTCATTCCGTAATCGTCATTATTCTATCTCATTGAATGAAGATCTAATAAATTCCAGTGAGATTATTCATTCAAACGTATTAGGAATTCTCTTTTCACCGCCTTGAACGAGATAATTTCTATACGAGATAGTTGAGCTTATGGTAGAGTAGCAGCGATATGATGAACGCTCTCTTTGTAATAATTCATAGATGTCTTTTTTTTTCTAAATGTTAATCCTCTAATAAGATTGTGTTGCTGGCGTAGGACATCCGTTTTCTATCTCTTTTCTTATACACACATGTAAACATCCAAGAATCAGTTTTAATATGTTTATTGTATAGTATCTTCTTATAACGAGATCTATCAAGTTCCTTCAACGCTCGGAATGGACGAAATGTCGATACAGTCACATTAAGAAGATATATAATCTTATGACTGACAGTTTATCGCTTTATCGGGCTCTTTTGGTTATAGGTCGTCCTGTCATCTCCGAATACAAAAGATTTCTCATATCTTTCTCTTATACTTTTATTATATCTCTTTGGATCTCGAAGACAACAAGTTGTCATCACTTATTTTTTCTCACCATTTTTTTTAATATTATGGTGAAATAAGTCGTTTGAGAGAATATTCTTAATACAATTATTTGTTTATATTGCCATATCCTAAAGTGTGCTTCAGGCATAGTTTATATGCGAAGGCAGTGCTTAAGTCATTCCGGATAGTAGCGTTGTTTAGATTTCTTTTTGATCGGCATAGTTCTCCCTCTTCATGCAAAATATCTAACTTGTTTTCAACCTTCCGTATTTATTAATGTTTCTGTTCACTTCTAATTTATACGTGCATGTAAGATGTTCAAGTGGGCTATATTTGAAACTGTTCTTTCTACTTCGCAGTCATAATTAAGAGGGACAGATGATTTACTGTTATGGCTACTCGATATTGCGTAATCGATACTAGTACAGGTCAATTTACTATTGAGTGTAAATGACAATGTAATAATGAGTAGTTCATCTTCCTTCCATTCTGTTTCCTTCCTGTATAACACTATACATTCTTTTCATTATTTTACGTAAGAAAAGGTGAAGTTTTTGACATCTAACTACGTCCGATGATGGCTCACTTATCGTGCTGAATCACCTTTGTTACTTTTTTTTATAATAACATTCATCAAAAGTTTGAATATTTCTCTGTCCATCAGCAAACTCTGTCACATTGTATCCATCATATGGCCTTCTAGGCTTTTATGACATTATTGTATAAACGCATCAACTTTTTTTATTCTCACTTCTTTCCTCATTTTTTCTTACCATTGTGAATTAAGATGACAGTTGAGAGTTATTTGCTCGTAGATTCTCTTTTTTTGCCACACAGTTTAAACTTCATAAATGCGCAGATATCCTAAATTTCCTTCATTCTTTCAATAGCTTGCGGAAGTACTCGAATTTTCACACGCATAATTTCTATATATTGAATACGAATTGGCAGAAATGTTCTTATTTGCCTATTCTCATTTGATAGAAATTCTTCTTCTCCATCTCTTCATATAATCCTTTAACTCAAATTGCTTTAAGTTTATATAGTTTTGATATTCATACTATCTAATACTTTTCACACAATTTATACTTATTATAACATTATGACCTTTTAAGTTAGATGATCGTTTAATCGCTCGTGCATCGCCAACTCCTATCTAAACACTTTTGCTTTTTTCTCAGTTGATTGTTCTGATTCACCCGTCTTTAAATTTCTTTCTCTCTATTTGGAAACTTTCACGATAGATAACTTCTATTTGCTCGTCGCACCTTCTTCACAGAAAAGCGTGTCTTTTTTTCGCATTGATTGCGATGAATTTTGTTTACATCTTTCAAAATATTATCATGATGAAATTGGTCGGTGGGTAGAAATTTCGTTTTATCTCTATTCCCGCCTTATCTATTGATCGGCTCATTTGAATTTGTCTCCTTTGGCTTATCTATATGTCGTATCGCTGTTGCTTCCTGCTTACATATACATTCTTTTCGGTCCTCTCAACACCATATTTAACTAATGTAGAACGTATTATGCTGGCTGTTACGAATACTAGTTTAAATTTCTTTTTCTGTACATCTGTCAGATAGAGCTTTGTGTCACATCTTGTTGAGTAATAGGTCTGCTGAAACTCTTCTTTGTATGATATTCATATAGTCTCTAGAGACATATCTTCAACTGCCCATTGGCTTTTTATCCATTTGGGACTGCAACTTCAGCCTCACGTATGGAATGTTTCTATGCACAAGTACATTGCAATTGCTTTTTACTCAAAAACCTTCGTTTGCTTTCTCCCCACTTATCGTCTTCTTTATGATTCAGCTTTCTCAATATGGTACTATGCTCATTATATCTCCCACGCTTTTGGAAGAATACGGTTCTATTCATGAGTCATATCAAGCTTGACGTTTCCCCTCTCTCACTCCAATGACACAGCTTTCGTACATGACGTTTTGATAACACTATCATTTCCTCTTAACGTATTATTAGTTTACATGCTCTAACAAGAAACGTTTAAAACTTTAAAGTAACCAGTAAATTCCGTTTGAGTCTTAGCTCCACTCTCTAAGTAATTGCCAATTTGAAGAGTAGCCATTCACTATCATCATCACTCTTGCTTTTGTTTCTTCGACAACCTTTTCTTTCTTAATGAAAGCGTCTTCATTACGGCTCTATGTCATACACTCTCTTATTATTCACTATTATGTATCCTGCAATATGCAAATTTAAGCTTCATTTGTGGTTTCTCTACTCTTTGGCATATTTTCTTCATTTCGCTTTTGCATCGTCGAATCCATTAGTGCTGCTCATAGAATGTATTAGTTGTTTCACTTGCTTTTATGCTTAAAATTTGTGCGATAGCTCCAAATGGCCTACTAAGGTAACCAATGACCGTTTGACCATTAGGCTAACGTCTCTCTATCTCTTTCTTTCTGTTTAATAACGTGAAATTTGAGAACTTTAATTAACGGTGGAGTGCTTGAGTAAGCAGGTAGATTAGTATTGGCTTTTTTAGTATGAAGTAGCATCTAATCGCATTATCTCCTTTTTATTCTATAAATTCTCGATTTTTGAATTAAGTACTGCACCTCTCAAGGCTTGTCTCTGAAGTGAGTTTTAGATGCCAATAGCGTCTTTCAGCTGCCCATTTGAGATGAAGTGACGATTTGATTAGATCGGGAGATGTAGTTGTGCTTTCTTTTATTCTTCATTTCTCCGTTGTCTATCTTTCATCGTCATTTTTGATTTCGATTTTTCGAACATTTGATGATGTTTGCGATTTCAGTTCTGCACTGTGTTAGCTTCTCTAAATCTAGCTTCATCCTTAACATGAGAATTGTAACATAGTTTAGCTTAAATACTCGATTCTTTATCTCATCTCTATCGATTAAAAAAGAAAAATGCGAATAGATGACTCATTGTTCCTTCTTTGAGTGTAGGATCTTTTGAAGAAGAAAAAAAACATAGCGCATTCGTTTTCTAGTCCTTAACCGTCAGTAATTGTGATTATTTGAACATAATTTTCTACAAAATGTCTGGTCATTATCTACTCTTTCAAATGACCATCTAAGTTATTTAAGTTAGTCTCTCGGTGTTCTTCGCTTGAATAATCTTCGTATTTCTTTGCGGAACAGCTGCCCATAACTAGTTTTGAGAACTTCTCTTCAGGGTGTTCGTCTTTGTAGATCAAAATGAAATTCAAACAGTATAAAACTGAATTTTAAAGAATTTGAGCTTTCTATTTTCTTCAGACTCACTATTATTAATATGATTGAAGCGAGTACTCTAATGGCTATTTAACCTCAAATTTAACCAGCCTTGACCTGTTGCTGTGGTATTCGTACCTGCACAATGAATGAAAGTTCATGACCTGAACAAACTAACTCCTGAACAGTTACCTATGAGCTTAAGTTACGCTCAGGTTCATTCCATCGATTCAGCTGTTGTTTGTGTATTTTAGCTTTTTTAAGTTTCACCGGTGGGCCTTCTATTATTGTTTGTTGTCGCTTCACTTATTCCATAAAATAGCCACGAACTTGCAATTGATATCGAATTCTTTCAAGTCTTATTCAAGCACTTCTTTAAGCTGTTTATATGCTTCAAACAACTTTGAGTGTTCTGAGCTTGAATTGTTCAGTTGGTGAACTCTTTTTTTGGTGTTTTGTAACAAACATTATTTCATAAACATGAGGAGAGCATTCTCTCGTTCCAATATGAGCAGCCGAGAGACGTCATGTTAATGAAAGCTGCTCTCCTCTTTCTTCATTGTTTTGCTCTCTTTTGTTAACAGCGACTTTTGAATCATGGCATCGTTTGTTCCCCTCCCCCAGATGACTGTCTTTCATTCCGTCTTGGTCAAGGAAAAATTGTATTCGCTTTGCGAAAATGACTCTTCTTGGCGCCAGCTATTATCTTCGCCGCGTCTGATCCTCACCTAGATGACCTTTAACGAAACGTCCGGAGGACAACAAACCCGCTTATGTGTGGCCTGCAGCGTTAGTCTTTAGGTGCCATACCTTAGAATGGGCGTGGTTGCAACTACTCTGTCTATGCTCTCTATTCGACTTAGCGTAATGACCCATGCTATGTTGAGCGTTTTCTTTGCTCTCTCCCACTATTCGACTTCTTTCTTTACAATCTATGTACAACACTCTACATGTCTGACGGTCACTATGTTGTCCCTTTCTTCTCTACTTGGCTCTCTTTTTCTCCCTCCCCTGGCCGTCCTCTCCTTATTTGGACACACACAGCATATATCTGCACGCTCACGTATCCAATAGTCATGCAATCACTTTTTCTGATTCTATTTTTTCATATATGACCTTAACTTTATTGATTAATATCTCTGTTAGATGTTCGAAATAACACCAGTTTCTAATTTCTATCTTTGGCCCGATTTCTCTACGTTTCCTTTGATCCTATTATGATTATTTCTTTTTCTTGGCTCGTAGCGCCGTTAAATCTTATACGATTATGTAGATCTGATTAGAAATCTGTTCCTGTTTTTACTCATAAGTATTCGTTTTATTTATTCATGTGCTAGTTTTTTTTCTTAATTTTCCCTGCTTATCAAGTATTTTTCATCATTACCTCTCATTACTTCCGCATTTATTCCTCGTTGTGATATTTTCGTTTTTGGATCTTACATTTTTTCATTGTTTCCTGTTTCAGGTTTCTACATTATTATATCTTTATCATTGGACTAAGTCCACCTGATTTTCTAGTTGAAAAGAGTTACTCATAAAACAAAATACTCGAGCCACCAGATACACCCAAAATACTTAGCCCAGTCTAGTTCCAATTGTTATATGGCTTTTTCTTTAAGTCTCTCGACTACGAAGATTCGGCCCAAAAGGACGGATTCCGTCTCCGAATCCGTGTTAATGACGGAAGACACGATGCCTTCAGCAATATCGCTATTGCCTTATTGGATAGAAATGATCATGCCCCTGAAATCGAAGGGCCATCAGAACTTTCGTTCCCAGAAGATGAGCCAGTCGGATCGAAAATTGCCAAATTCACCATCAACGACCGGGACCATGAAGATTCAAACAGGGCTAGGTAGGCACAGTTTTTGGGGTATCTGGTTGGCTTTATTCGCTGTTCTACTCGTTCCGAGTCCAACTTTTGCTAATGATTTATCCTTGCCATTCGGCCTGGATCCTTCATTGACGAAGTCTCGTTTTTCGACCTATGTAGGCCCTAAAGCTAGAGACATTCGGGTTTTCGTCATGAAAAATATTAGTGAGGATACATCTATTGGGACTGTGCTGGATACTTTCAAAGCACATGATCCTACAATGAATTCATTCAATTACACGTAAGTGTTTCTAAGATCGTTCTGGCACAAAAATTTACTAGAGTATCGTGCAAAAAGTGTTTCAATTGTTTTATTTAGGTTCCGGATTAATCGCCAATCCGACCCTAAGCGTCAATTCAGTATTGACCAGGACGGAACTCTGAAAGTTGCTCAACGTTTAGATAGGGAAGATATTCCTAGTTATAGGTTGATTATCGAAGCATATGATGCTGGTTTGTTATCTTTCTAACCTATTCATACTATTATGTGTGTCTTTAAGCTGATAATGTCGGAACTCAAATGGTTGCCGTTTATTTGCAAGATGTAAACGATAATGGCCCCGAGCCTTACACAATCCCAAAAACCTGTATTTTCATGGAAAATACGCCAGTTAACCAAATGGGTACTTGCGAGATTCGTGCTACCGATAGAGATACTGGGTACTAACATCTTTCTGATATCGTTCAATAAGTTATACAATTTTTCAGAGATTATGGTCCACCATTTAGCATGCAACTGGACACTACATTTAAGTATGGTAATTACTTGAGTGTTACTTTCGATCCAAGTAAGTTTAAATTTTATCTTCGGATACGTTTTTATCCTTCCATTGCTTGTGGATTCATTGTATTGTCTCGTTGAAGGTCATCTGATCCATTTTTCCACAATGACATTTAACGTTTATTGCTTTTCCATTTTTCAGACGGTGATGGAGGTAATGGTTCAATGACTATTAAGCCCCTGGTTGAATTTGATCGCGAAGCTGATGTTCCGGGAAAAGTAGTTGAATGTGTCAAATCAGCTTTTCATGCCATTTGTTACAGGTTTTGGAAGTACCTCTAGTGCTTTCAGACAAGGCTGGAAAGACGAATAAAGCATCTGTCTACGTTGTTATCGGAGATCAGGTAATTATTATGAATATATAATAACGTGGTTTTGCTACTGTAAGGGATTAGTTTCGATAATTCATCGTTAGCACGTTGCTTAAACCCGTAATAAAACCGTCGTTGCGTAAAAAAATGCTTATGCAGAGCTGTCGGCCTCCTTTAATGTGTAGGTGATCAAATTTCGGCATTCGTGATGAAAGAGAGTCTGAACAAGTAGTATTCTTTTATGCAATCACTTTTTTTCCGCAAATCTAGAACTATCTTCTTTAAGGATTTTAAAGTAGTAATAATTAGCATAATATTCGATTGAATTTTACTTTCACCTCTTTTTGTTTCTTTAACTCCTATTCCCACGTCCTTGGTATACGAAAATTGTGTCACATTGTCTTGTTAGGATGGTAGGGCAGAGTGGGGCCGCGAGTTGAGGGGGCCGACGTAGGTGATGTTGACCATTCATAGGTCTCGTTTATTAGAGTCTACTAGCTAACATAGCCATCAACGGTTGATTGTTTGAACAAGAGCCACGGGTCACAAGGAGAGCAGTCCTCTCCTCGCTCAGGACGTAAAAGATTTTCTGAACTATACAAAGCTCGAGGGGCTGCATACTTTAATGAATGAAAAAGGGAGAGATGAGATATTTTCTAAACTTAGTCAAAATATCCTTGTTTTGGTGAGGCAATGCTTCATTATTTTTTTTTGCAGAATGACAATCCTATGCATGATGGCAGTATGACCATAACTGTCAATAGTTATCTGGATAAGTTACAAAAAACTGTCATTGGACGGGTCTATGTGGATGATCTTGATGACTGGGACCTTGGAGACAAAACATTCACAATGCAACAGTCACAACCCGGATTTTCTATCTCTGAACATGGAGTCATTACCATGGATGCTAACATGCCTCCTGGAACTTACAAGTTATCCAGTAAAGTGCATGACAATGTTAGAAATGAGGATGCTATGGGATATGTTACTGTTGATGTTGTTGTTGTTCCACAAGTTGCTTTCGACAATCAGGTATTGAAACATCGTTATGAATTATTTTATATTTTGATTTATAGGGTTCAATGCAGCTACTTATTGCTGAAAACACTAACTTGCAATACCCCGAAGATTTCATTCGAGTGAATAGCAGTGGCACCAGTATGATGAAGGTGTTTGTAGAGAAGATGGTTGGCTATATTGGAGGATCTGTATCTCTTGATGTTTTCTCTATCCAGGTATTACTGTTCTTCTCCATCATCTTCTTATTGTTTTTCTTTCAGCTTGGTATTGCTACTTTACAAAATAGGAATGTTCCTGTTTTGAACGTCCGTTTCTCTGCTCATGGCTCACCATACAAGGATCCTGCATTGCTGAACGGTCTAGTTTCAGCCCACAGAGAGGAACTTCAGTCATTGATGGGCACAACCATCGTGGGAGTCGGAATAGATATGTGCAAATTCACGATGTGTGATGCTGGATGCCAAACCATCAATTCGGCTGATTTTGAAGGAGTCGTTGTTTCTGCAAATAGTACAGTCCTTGTTGGTGTTAACACAACATCAAAAGATGATTGCACTTGTCCCGTATGGAACCCACCGTCTGAGTGTCGTGCAGGTCTTTGTCACAATGATGGTGTTTGCCACAATACATTGCCTGGTTTCTTCTGCGAATGCAGAAACGATTTCTTGAAAGGAATGAGATGCCAGGGAACAACAAGATCTTTCGATGGTTCCGGATTTGCGTGGTACAAGCCTATGCCTGCATGCACAAGTTTGAACATTTCTATGAGCTTCATGACTGTTCAACGAGACGGATTAATCTTCTACAACGGCCCTATGGACACAAAAACAAACGATCGTCAAATTGAATATAGAGATTACATTATTATTCAACTGAAAAATGGAATGGTTAATGTTGAGGTGAGCTGAAAATTGTATTTTTTTTCTTACTTTTCAATACAGATTTCGATGAACGGAATGATTCCGGTTACACTTGAAGTCCCTTCGATTAGTGGGCTTAATGATGGAAAATGGCATACTCTTTCTGTAACTCAAAACGGAAAGGTACTTCTTAGTTCTACTTGAAAATTTATTATGGCTCAAAGTGAATTATCTGATTTATTGGCCTGAGCCGTTCTTCAAGCACTTATTCCACATTTACTCTATTTTGTTGCTAAGTATAGTGGCCGTATATCTCTTAATTAGGCGAATCTTGTTTACGGATTGACCAACATGTCTTGACATTTGCATAATTGGTAGTTGCGAGCCTGTCCCTTTATGAATGAAAGACAAGCTAATTTTCTCAATGTAGTCACCAAATTCTGTAATAGTGTGAGGGAGAAGTGAAACAATGGAGATTGAATTTTAGTTTCTTATTCTTGTGATTTCAGCACATCACTCTTGTGATTGATGATTGCCGAGACGTTGACTCTAACAATAGTGATTTATACTGCCGGCACTCAACGTCAACGCCAGATGATGATGAACGTCTCAATATTGTTGCTCCTGCCCAACTCGGTGGTCTTGCACCTTTGACATCTGGCCAACAATACCCACCTACTGTTCCTAAAAAAGGACTAAACGGTTGCGTTCGTAATTTATATGTCAATGGAGATCAGTATGACTTGGCAACTCCAGCATACGAGAAAAACTCGGAGACAGGATGCAAATTATGGGGTTCTGCATGTGACAGCAACTCTGTGGACACCGTATCTTTCTGTGTTCATGGTGATTGTTACGCAAATGCTCCTGGAGACTCTCCAAATGTTCCAAAATGCATCTGTGACCCAGGGTGGGGAGGACCAAGGTGTGATCAACAAATCCAATGGGTCCAGTTCAACGGTGGATATATCGACTACCAACCAAAAATCGGTTTCTCAAATCAAGTTAATGATATTGAGCTACTCTTCATTCCTGGAAGAGTTTCATCCTCGTCTGCCGGATTAGCATATGGAACAGAAGGCCAAAACTATGTGTCAACATCTGTTGATGCAGTTGGCGACTCTCTCGTACCATCCTCAAGATTCAATGTAGGAACTCTGAACAATCCTATCTTGCGCATTCCTGAAGTGAATTTGAAAGAGAATGGATCTTACTGGATGCAATTGACACGTAACCCAATTAAGTGAGTAATTTTTTCTTCATTCTCTTAATTGATTGTATTCAATTTCAGAGCTTCTCTTTCTATCGATGGAGCCTACTTTAACACCTTATATTTTGATCAGTTCTCCTCTAGAAACCAACTGAATATTAACCAAATTCTGTTGGGAAGGCAAGACGGAAATAATGCTTTCCGCGGTTGTGTAGGAACCTACAGATGGGAAAACCACGATCTGCCTCTACGCAAACCTACCAACCAAGCTGTAGATGATTCCGGAATAGTGTCCATTGAACGATCTGTAGGGGTTGTTGATGGCTGCTCTTTGAGAATCACATGTGCTGATCTGCCTTCTGGCTTTTGTAGCGGAGCGTTTGTCTGCATGGATTTCTGGAAAGGACCTTTCTGTACTTGCGCGGATGGTGCTAATGCCATTCTTGGAGATGATGGACAAGTTGTTGGATGTGGAGAAACCCTTGCTGTAGCCAAGCTGGGAATTAGTAGTCCCGCTATCATACTCATCCTTGTCTCTCTGGCTCTACTTATAAGTAAGTTCAAACCCAGAATATTCAAAAAAATAATCTTCTCTTCAGTGCTTGTTCTTCTCATGGTAGTTTATACACGCCGACAGCCCACAACCTTTGGGGCTGTCCGTCCTGAGGATTCTAACCGTGATAACATCAGAACCTATTACGTTGAAGGAGGAGGGGAAGCTGATAATGATGCTTACTCAATTGATAATTTGCGAAAACCGGTCATGCCTCCTGATGGGAATGGTCTTGGACCTGTTGCACCTCCTATATACGGCAGACCAGTCGGTAAGCATTTACAGTCATTTCTCATCTAAAGTTTGAATCCTGCAGATGATCGACTCAATTCTCAAATTAATGATCTGGAGGGAGATCAGAATCATGCTCCTTACGATGAACTGAGAATATACGATGATGAGAAGGACAACATTTCTGTTGTTACGTTAGAAAGTTTGGAGAGTGCTTCTGGCACTGCTTCTGCTGTGAAGTACTGCTAATTCATATACTTTTGAAAGTAGAATGGCATTACTATTTAACAACTTGGAATGTAATCTAGTGTGATCTCTTCATCCAATTGTTGTTTTGCTTCCCGTGTCATATTTCTAATTTATATATACTGGGTTCATCTATAGGATTGAAACAGAAGTTGAATGAGTTTTGCTTGTGTCGATACTTCATTCATTTACATCATCTTCTGTATTGGATCTATGGTTTCGAACGTTGAACGTAATCTCGGTGAATGCATTTCAGATTTCTTATTCCATCTTTACACTTTTCAAAACGGTTGCTCAGAGTATTTATTCTAACTTATCCAGATGAATGTTCATAATTATCTCCCTGATCAAGCCGTAGACTTGTATGATGTAAAATTTTGTTGCGGGTCTTCTAGCAAGTTTTATTATTTTATCCTCTAATTGTTTTGCTTTCATCCTATCATGTATGCTCACCTGATTTTCTATTCTTTCCAAACTTACATTATCATCTAATCAGGACTTCTACGAAAACTACTTCAATTTCTTAATCGCCTTCATTACTTTAATTATGCAATCCCTTTAATTTATTGTTTTATGAACTTATTCTGAATCAGAAATAAAACTATTAATTAAATTCTCCACTCATTACTATGCTTTATTGCAATATATACTTATTCATTCACTGTCCGAAGGTTATCCCGTTGGCTAATTACATTGCTCCCTGCTCACTACATTAGTTTCCGTCATGAAATTGAAATCCAAACTTTCTGTAGATGACATTGTGCAACATTAAACAGTTTTATACTTTGTGATCCATGGACTGGCCTCATTATTGGCCACCCGGAAAGGCAATCTAACTCGGGTATAACATTAGTATGTGTAGCATCGTTTCAAAAAGCCTGTGACTCTCTTTGAACTAGCGTGAGAAAATGATGAATTAATGGCCCTGCGGGAGTAAACTCTGGCTGAGAGGAGCGGATAGCAGCTATTAGCGCTAACGCCTGAATCTATAGTTTAGCCAGTCATAGTTTATAAATGAAGCCAGCAGTTAATCCGAGTCTCTTTGCATTAAGGGACCGAACGATTTTTGAATGATGAAAGGTTTGGCCGTTTTGTTGCTTTTCGTCAATCCGAACCGTCCGTCTGCTTAAGTGTTCTTGTACCGCAACCCTTTTATTGTATTATTTGAGCACCTAACTATAGCCACTTGTACTGTACTCTTCTGAAAGAACGCACTTATGTCATCGGCTCCACTGAATGGGATGAGCAGAATTTTTTTAGTCATCACTCAGTAACTGTATTGAAATATGCGTAATTGAATGTATCATTCACTACATATTAGAGTGAAGGATCATATTGAATTGTAAACGATCGGGTTTCGACTGCCTGAACGTCAATCAAAATCTATAATTGTAGTCCATCTTGTAATTATCCTCTTCATTGTTCACTTAATCCAATTTATTGATTTTCCTTTCCAAAGGTATGCGTCATATGTGGAATGGAAAGTATTCCTATCGGAAGTGTTTTCTCTAATTCTCTATTGTAATGCGATAATAATCTATATCACAGGGACCAGTGATAATGAGATAGAGATCGACGAGATTGAACAAGATAATGTTTCAAAGATACAGATCACGCAAAGCACCTAAAGTATTGGAATATTAGCAATCGAAGACGTTTTCTTCCTGCTAAATAACTAATGCTGCACCATGTGATGAGGAAGAAAAATTATTAGTGAAACTTTAACGTTTTCTTTCAAGGTTAAACTCAAACGTAGACAGACAGAGCTGACCTTGGGATTTGAAAATAATTCCAAGGATTACCTAAATCGCAGAAGATGACTGAATGTGTTCTCTGCCTGTCAATCTATTCATTAAAGAAATTCAAATATCCCATCGGATCAAGAAACCTTATACGAAAAGTATATTTCTGTTAAAATCAAATGAGATAGAGGCTGCTATTTTCATTTCCGTGAGTGTTCTGTAATTGGAACCAGAACTTTCATCAATGAAGAACTCTTTCACACTTCTCGGTTTTTCGTCTCACTAATTGCTGCCTTCAACAGCATTTAATTTCAAAGAAAAACTTTGCAAGATGTACTGTGATTACTTCATTATGCGCTTGACGAATATACAACCAAGATGAACCGACTGAGCAAATCTATTCATGTCAGAAACATCAAACTTATCGGTTGGTCATAAGGGCAAGGTACTTACAATTCTTTCTTAGAAGTAAAAAACGATTTTCAATGTACGACTGGCAAACCAGAGTTAGCGGTCGTTCGGAGATATGAAGCTGGATGATACAAAACATGACTTCTGATATCCAACCCTTAACAAACGTTAGTCAATCTATAGAAGGATTGAGAGATGGACTAATCGCATTTTAACCTTTCGTGACAAGATATCCCACATGATACCGTA